TAGAATCTCAGTTTTTTCAGAATTAAGTAGTAGGAAATTACTAGTCATCCAATTTTTATATTAGCTTTGCATTCCGTTAGTTTTGTGAATTGGTACTGGGTATCAAAAGCTGAGTATCATCAGCATAACAGTGGAAGCTAATGTCATGCTTCCTAATGATTTCTCCCAATAGCATATACAGGGTGAAAAGCAATGGTCCTAGCACTGAGCCTTGAGGTACACCATACTGAACATGTGATCTATATGGCATCTCTTACTGATTAATTTCAGTAAGTTGTAATGTATATTTCAACACACCTTCTGACATTCATTAATGTTTATTTAATATTATCAAGACGATCAGTTCACAAAGCGTTTTAAATCTATTTTAGTTTTAAGGGGATGGTGGTTGTAACACTTTTTAAAGATGTGTTAACCCCAGTCAACCATTGTTTAGCTAGCTGTATTAGCACAATGGTTTGAAATTAGCAGGTTAAAAATGTATCACGTTTGCAGGGTAAACTACAGTTTACAGTAATCTAAGTTCAATTATTTTATCTTCAAAAGTTTAAATTTGAAGTAAAATATACTGTATACTGGTATGTTCTGGAAAAAAAACACATTCTTTGCTTTGTTTTTTTTTTTCTTTATAAAATCTTCTCGGCGAGAAGAACACCAGTTGAGAAACAGGTTCCACTTCAACGCATAGACGTGTCTCGTGGACGACGCTCTAGCAGAAGTGATGGTAGCCGCCACCGCAGGTGGCAGGCTACTCAAACCTGCCTCGTCCCGTCCAGGAGCCACACATGTAGCCTCCAGAGATCGGGGCGAGGGTGCCATAGGGTGCCCCGTCTCTGAGAAAGGAGGCCCTTCCTCAGAGGAATTGGCCAAGGAGGTGCTGTCGCAAGGAGTATCAGTTCGAAGAACCAGGTCTTGGTGGGCCAGTATGGGGCGACCAAAATGACCTGCTCCTCGTCCTCCTTGATCTTGCACAGAGTCCGTCCGAGAAGGCTCACTGGGGGAAGCGCACATGTGCGTAGGCCCCGCGGCCAGCTATGCGCCAGTGCGTCTGTGCCGAGTGTGCCCTCGGTCAGAGAGTAATACAGGGCGCAATGGGATGAGTCGGAGTGGGAGGCAAACAGATCTATCTGTGCGTCCCCGAACTGGTCCCATATCAGACTGGGGATGGATTCGCCATTCGCCAGAGACTGGACAGAGCCGAGACAGCTCGTCGGCTGCAAAGTTCCGCTCTCCTTGAATTTTAATAGCATGAAGGGACCTCAGGTGCTTCTGACTCCATAAGAGGATGTGGCGTGCGAGTTGCGACATCCGGTGAGAGTGTAGACCACCCTGGCGCTTGATGTACTCTACTGTCGCGTTATTGTCTGAACAGACTAGTACGTGTTGACCCCTGAGCAATGCATGGAAGCGGTGCAGGGCAAGGCGTACTGCCAGCAACTCAAGGCAATTGACATGCTTGAGGCGCTGGGGTCCTGTCCAGGAGCCCATGGCTGCATGCACATGGCACCCAACCTGTGGCAGAGGCATCTGTGGAGACAACAACATGCCTGGAAATTCACTCTAGGGCAACTCCGGCCCGTAGAAAGCAGAGGTTCCTCCACGGGGTGAAGGTCTGATGGCAGGTCGGAGTTACTGGAACTCTGAGCGTACCGCGATGCCATGCCCACCTCGGGACTCGATCGCGAAGCCACAGCTGAAGTGATCTCATATGAAGCAATCCGAGTGGCGTTGCCACAGCTGCGGATGCCATGCCCCAGGAGCCTCTGAAAAACTTTCAGTGGAACAGCACTCTTGCCCTCGAACTGTCGAAGACAAGTCAGCAGTGAGTGTGTGCGCTCGCTCGTAAGCTGCGCGGACATGGCGACCGAGTCTATCTCCATACCGAGAAAAGAGATCCTCTGCACGGGGCAAAGTTTGCTCTTCTCCCAGTTGACCCGAAGGCCTAGACGGGCTAGCTGCCGGAGCACTAGGTCTCTGTGTTCGCAGACCTGATCTCGAGAGTGAGCTAAGATTAGCCAGTCGTCGAGATAATTCAGGACGCGAACCCCTTGTTCGCGAAGGGGAACAAGGGCTGCCTCGTCAATCTTCGTAAAGACACGAGGAGACAGAGCCAGCCCAAATGGGAGAGCCGCGTACTTATATGGCTGCCCCTCGAAAGCAAACCGAAGAAACGGTCTGTGTCGAGGTAAAATGGAGACATGAAAGTAGGCGTCCTTCAGGTCTAATGCTGCAAACCAATCCTGGGGCCGAACACATTCGAAAATGCATTTGGCCGTGAGCATTTTAAACGGCAGCCGGTGAAGGGTGCGATTCAAAATGCGCAGAACCAGAATCGGTCGTAACCCACCGGTTTTCTTGTGGACAATGAAGTAGGGGCTGTAAAACCCTGACCTCATCTCTGCTGGAGGGATGGCCTCGATTGCACCCTTCGCCAGCAGGGTGGCAACCTCCGCTCTCATGATCAGGGCATGCCATCGACCGTCTTAAAGCGAACTCCCCTGAAGTGGGGAGGAGACCGTGCAAACTGAATCCAGCGGGACAGATTGGGAAGCTCTAACCAAACCCCCAAAAACTGATCCAGTGGAATCATCCAAGCCACAGGCGTCCCCCCGGAGGGGCAGCGGGGCGTAGAGACCGGCACAGGCGAGGGTGGCATATCGACCCTGCAAGCGTGCACGGTCAAGCTCCGCGCCCTGACAGAGGAGACCAGGGAAGGACCAGCCTTCCATGGGGGTCTGCTCTGCCAGGGGTCTGGCGATAGAGGGGAATGAGAGTGGTGTGGTCCGGAGACGACATGCACTGCCATCCGCGCCCTCAGAGACAGAGGAGGACGAGATTGGCGAGGCACGAGGGCGTTGCACACTGCCATCCTGCTCTGTGTGCTCACGGATGGGATGCAGATCTTTGGAGAAAAGATTCTCCCCCAGCCCTCCACCGGGGGAAGGAATGGGCCTCCACCACTCCCAGAAAGAACAGCGAGCCATATCTGAGCTGCCCGTAACGGGAGCGCCGCATAGCCTGGCTTACAGCGGGGCTGCGGGGTTGGTACGGGCAGGGACCCCTCCCTGCGACCACCTCCACGGCACGGCCCGGTGCTGCTGGGGCCGGGCGAGAGGGGGCGGAAGTCGCAGGAGGGCGCGTTCGGCGGCAAGCGGACTGAGGCGTCTGAGCCGGCGGCTGGTTGGCAGCAGAAGCCGCAGGGTCAGACAAAAAATCCACACTTCTGGGCGGCCGAGAACTGTTGGGCAGAGTTGTCGACCACCCCGCTGAAGAGGCCAACCTGGGATATGGGGAAGTTGAGGAAACTGGTTCACTCAGCCTCACGCACATCAACCAGGTTAAGCCAGAAATGTCTACCCCCAAAAACCAATCATCAGCCTTAAGTGCTCGGGACATGGCAGAATTTTACACTCAAACCCAATACTCGTGGCGGCCCGAGAAAGCATAGCTGTGAACTCTGAATCCAACTCGCTATCGCTATGCTAGCACATCCGAGGACAGCAGCACAAACGAGCCATCTCCAGAGGACTCCAGAGCTCACCTTGTGATGCGGCGATAGACATAATTTCATCAGCTGTTTTTTTTTTGGGGGGGGGTTGTTGTTTTTGGGTTGCAACGTGAAAGACGGGGTATGGACCCCGGAGTATTATGGAGTATTATCTCACATGGAGAAAATAGTTCGGGTTGTGGATGAGGGGACTCTCGCTCTATTGAGCTCATTGAGTCTCGACCATTATATATTGCGATGGTCACTAAGAGAACGTGACACACCCACGAGCGCTGTCTGAGCGCGATCAAAGCCCAAACACGTCAAACAGCACTCACGCCCATCAGCTGAATCTATCAGAATACCGCACTCAGAAGTACACGGGCAGGTCGTCTTTAAAAAGACGTGCCGCGTGCACGCTCTTTGAGTGAGAGGAAAAAAACTCTGCGGATGTTGAAGTGACCAGGGAGAAACACACACACTGGCAGACCACTGCTCAGATCGCAGGCAATGTGAAACTCGCTGTATACCGCCATCACACAAACACCATAGAGTTCGCTCATCTCGAAGAGGTGAGTCACAGTAGTAAACTCAGATTGTGTGGCTTGTGGAGTGAAGAAGTTCTCTTGGCTCCGAAGTGAAAACATACTGCGGTTGCGTCCGCTTCCTCCTTTTATACTCACAGGGTGAGGTGTGGATACGCTATGCAAATTCCGCAGACCCATGGCATTCCTTTGCCATTGGCTCGTTTTTTTTTAATACTCGAAGAGGATTGGCTTTCTAGGCGAAACCCCCATTCTCCGAATGGAAGTAACTTAGGAAGCGGGTTTCCTGGCATTTGCCTCCTGGTGAAATGGCAGCAGTAATCTGAGCAAGACGAAGACATAGGCTAAGGAGACAAGCTGAAAAGATTTCTGAAACAAGAATCACACTTTTTTTAGTTGAGTGAAAACGAAATTATTAAGCGTTACAGATTAAGCAGCTACGCAATATTACAGTTACTGGAAGAAATATAAGATTACATCAAATCTCTGACTCAGCATTCACATTCCAGCAGTTTTTAAACTCCTCGCTACATTACAATTATTGGTATCAGGATAATTTCAAACAGTCATTGCATCAACAATGAGAGGAGGAGGCCCATTCAATTGCATGTTTAAATATGCGCAATTTGCGGTATAGTGGTGGTGACAGGTGCTGATTACCTGATGAACTGCAGGTTTGGTACATAACACGCTCATTGCGGTTTCACATCAAGCGTTTTCTGCGTCTTGGCCATGGCGCTATTACCGCAGTGTTTGCAAATGTACGTACATCTGGCCCTCAGTGTCTGGTTTTACATTGTCATCTGTGTTTGTTCTAGGCCTTCTGTGGATCACTATTTAGATTTTTATTAAACTATGTGTTTTGAATCTTCTTCTTCTGCTTCTTATGCACCTTGCTGACACATACATACGATGTACCGAATGCCAGAGAAAGAAAGAAAAGAAAGACAGATAGAGGTTTATCAGACATGAAACAAGGTTAGAGAGGCAGATAGAGAGTCAAGTGTTTTATTAATTATAAATATAGTTAAGGAACTTTTTTCTAGTAAACTAATTTACACACACTTGCACAAACAGAAAGTGGATTTGAGTTATGATCAGTCACAGTGAGAGACATTTTTTTGAATTGTTCTGTTGGATTGTTTAAATAAACATTTTTTGAAGCATATTGCATTGTGCGGCCTCTGTTTGCTTTTTTTACTTAAATTGTTTGAACTTACAGCATGTGCTACAACCTACCTCAGTAGTGGCCTCCATTTCTTTCTTGACATCAACCAGTAGCGAACCGTGACTCTCAAACCTTGGTCCTCTCACCCCCCTCCCTTGTCATAAGTAGAAAGTAAACTCAGCCTAAAATCATTCTATCTTACTGTTCTCTTCTATAATTCTGCATTTTACCTTTGACAAGAAATGCCACAATCAAACATCAGAGTGAGTGTGAGAGTTATCACCAAAATTAAACAAAAAGTAATAAAATGCAAATCATCATTACAAATAATTGCATCTTCACAATCAATGTCATTTCAGCAGAATATTGTGACAACTGGCCAGAAAACCAACAAAAATGTATGCAAGCTAGCTCATTGTGACATCAGACCAAGATTATCGACATACACTTCTGCATCTTAGACGGAGTCCAAAATACAATTCTCTGTTGAGTAGGTACTTATTCTGAATACGTAAATACTTCACAACCACTAAAAAGTTTGTTCTATAAAGTATGAATGTTTGTGCAATAGTATGATTGTAATCCGGACGTACTATTTTTGCCATGTTGTCATTATCATGTAACCATCCAGCTTCAGTTACGTCGCTTCACCTCCATTCACAAATCCTCCCCCGTGGCCTCATGGGATTAAGTTTCCTTCATATGTAAACTTCAGAACCTTGCCAGAAGTAGGTCATCCTGGTACTTTTTGCCCACTATTTTATGAGTACTGTTATTTCAGACATACCAGTTTTGCTACACACTGTTTTTCGCCTATATAGTAGGGAAGTATGCAATTTCAGATGCAGCCAGAGAACAGCGATCATGACATTTTTTTAATCCATCACCACAAACAAGCTATGTTTTTTCAAAGCGAGCTTGCTATTGCTAGCCTCTCCAAAATTGCCTTCCTTTTTTGGTTGTTGGCTTACAATAATAGGAAAATGTTTAGTGGTCAGCTGCAATGCCAAGCATGTTGTATCATTTGTTTTGTGTTTTTCTAGGTATCATATTGTCTGATTGTGTTTTTAAAAATTCTCTCCTTTCACAGTAAGAGCCACTTTAATCCCAAGCCCCCCTACATACAATTCCAAATATGACTACTTGAACTGGGAGGCGTATTCCAACATCACCTACTACACAAGGATTCTGCCACCAGTCCCTCAGGACTGCCCCACACCAATGGGGGCTAAAGGTAAGAGACTCTAGTCATCTAGTCATCAGCCTCTTCCCACTGAAGGACACATGATCTGAAAATGTATTTTTTTTCCTCATAAGAAGCAATATTAAAATGCTGTAAGGCAAGTCTATCACAACAAAAGTCACTGTAAATACCTTTGCTGTAATAAAATCATTCCATGTGTCTCTCAGGGAAAATGAAGCTTCCAGACCCCAAGATTCTTGTAGAGAAGTTCATGTTAAGACGGAATTTCAGGCTGGACCCTCAGGGAACAAATTTAATGTTCGCCTTTTTCGCTCAGCACTTCACGCACCAGTTTTTTAAGACTCACAACCGTATGGGACTTGGGTTCACAAAAGGTCTAGGTCATGGGGTGAGTCACAATTTTTTAAATGTAACATAATATCGCCTGCTGTTTTTTCACAGTAGGATGTGCGGGAACCACATCCATCCACATAATTATATAATTTTGGAAGGACTTGGGGGAAGGGGTGGGTCAAAAAATGTTATCTCATTGTCAGCACACAAGCATACTTTAAGTTCATATTTTTATGTCAGCATAGGTTATATAAAGCCTTGTTACCTCTTATGATTGATCATTTAAATCAGTGTTGCATGCTATGAAAACTAAAAAATAACTTAGTTTTGTACTGTACTGTATTTGCTATTCGCTGAGTGTCTGTATTTTTAAAACTAGGTTCATTTTGCATTTTTGCATTGCATTTTGAAAACTAGGTGGATGCTGGACACATTTATGGAGATTCTCTTGATCGCCAGCTGGACCTCAGACTGCATAAAGATGGGAAATTGAAGTACCAGGTACTGTTCACATCAGGCATGTTGGGGAGTCATTAGTAATGCTAGGCTGAGCATGTCTGTGTGTATATATATATATATAATAATTCTGCTTGTGTTTCATGAACGAGACCCATGCATTTTCAGTTGTTTCATGTCACAGCTGTGTGCAAGTATTTCCTTCTGAATGTGCTTCATCTCTTAGTGTGGGTGTGATTATAGTTTAAACATGTGGTTTTTGTTAACCGTCAGTGATGTCATTTAAAATACTGCACACTGTTTAGTCTAGTAGCAGTAAATACCATATCTAGTGTGCTTGGTTGGTTAATGTGAGCATAATGTTCACTGATTAAAACAACTTTAAAAGAGATTTCAGGATGCTCGTTGTTCAAAAGAATTCACTCATTTACTGGTAATGAAAAAGAAATAAGAGAACAAAAAGTTTTGAAACATCTTCTCAATTCTGTTTGGCTCTGATATAGGTTGTCAGTGGTGAGATATACCCTCCTACTGTGCTAGATGCACAGGTCAAAATGAGCTACCCACCGTCTGTACCTCCAGAGATGCAGTTGGCCATTGGACAAGAGGTGTTTGGACTGCTGCCGGGTCTCAGTATGTACGCCACCTTGTGGCTGCGTGAGCACAACCGCGTTTGTGATATCCTGAAAAAAGAACATCCGACCTGGGGGGATGAGCAGTTGTTTCAGACTGCCAGGCTAATCATTATAGGTAAAGATTTCCTCAGATTCTTTTAAAAATAATTTGATGTACTTTAAAATATATACCACTCAAATTATGTACTTTGCAGTCATGGTTGTGTGCCATTTAAAATGCCTAAATTCCAGTTCCATTCCTGAATTTGAATTAAAGGGTTAGTTCACCCAAAAATGAAAATGATGTCATTGATGACTCACCCTCATGTCGTTCCAATCCGTTCATCTTCGGAACACAGTTTAAGTTGTTTTAGATTTCGTTTTCTATCCCTCCATTGAAAATGTATGTAGGCTACGGTATACTGTCCTTGTCCAAAAAGACATCATAAAAGTAGTCCATGTGACATCAGTGGGTTAGTTAGAATGTTTTGAAGCATTGAAAATTTTGGTCCAAAAATAACAAAACTTTATTTAGCATTGTATTCTCTTCCGGTTCTGTTGTCAATCCGCATTCTGACGTAAGATGGTTCTCTCGTATTGCGTAAGTTTAGCTTACGCTAAGGCTAAAGTAATCTTTTCTCGAGATATTAAAGCCAAAAATGATCCTTAATTTTGTATTCTTTGTCAACGCAGTGCTTCGCGCACACTACGTGTCACAGCCCGCTCAAGTGAGTGTGGCTTAGCGTATAAAAGCTCGGCTCGGAGGCTGCTTCCCTGATTTTCATCTCTTCAGCGAAGCTCATCGCACCGCTGAATCAGCAACTGCAAGTAGAGGAAAGCTTCTGTGGAAGCCGGTCGATTTCTCGACCGCCTTCCATGCCAGCAACGCTATCCGACAACATATCCCTTTTCTGCTATTGCATTTTACTATGTGTGTGTGTGTGTGTGCTCGCCGCAAGCGTTCTTTCAGAATGCCTTGCAGTTCCTGTGGCTCTTGCCTAGCCCCGCTCAGCGGTGGAGACCATATTGTGATCTGCATGAGTCTCTGGGCCTGGACCACGCAGCACTCACACTTTCGTCGGGAGGCTGTGTCCACTGTGAGGAGCTGTCCATGTCGACCCTGCGGGCTCGTCTGGACCTCTTCAGTGCCGAAGCAGTCTCTCCGCCATCTGCTGGACCACACAAAAAGAAGCGCCATGCACAGAGACCGCCAGAGCCCTACGCAGAAAACAAACACTCGGCCGTATCAACTCCCTAGGCTACTGCAGGAGAGTATTTAGCAGCCAATGAGCCGGTAACATTACCCTCTTGCCTGCACACAACTGCCGTTTTCACGGCGACCCACAGAAATCTCATAAAGAGTGTAATTTCTGGTTATTCGGCTCACGCCATGGGTGTTTTAAGTGTAGAGAATGTGCCCATGCCCCAGTGTTCACCCTTACACACAAGCACTATGACACATGTGTCGTTCACGCCCACAGAGCCCACTCTCATAAAGGTGGTAAATGCTGCTCGAGTGTCAGATGTAGAAATCGCGAACTCGTGCTCGCGTACCTCTTATGCCCGCTCTGTCATACACTCACTCACTGATGATGGCTTAGGCCGAAACGCGTCTGTGTGGACATGGTGAATGAATAAATCTTCATGAGATTTAACTAGAGAGTGCGGTTCTTTTTCTTTACATTGATCACTGTTTTATAACTCGCACCCAAAAAACGTCTTGGTAGTTGAGCGCGCCTAGTTTGAGCGCTCTGTCATACGGCCATTTCAACCTCATATAAATCAGGTTGTGAGTAAGTCACGTGCCCACTCACCAGCACTCTTTACTAAAAGACACACTGTCTTGCCTGCTCGCGCGTCACAGAATATTCATATAACACTTCCCATTCCCAGAAACCGGGTTGCCTCACATAAAACAGCCAGTTGTCGCTGTCAATGAGCCGCCGCAAATGAGCACTCATATAAATCAGGTCGTGAATGTAAGTTATGTGCTTGCCCAAGCGTGCTCATGCTTACTAATGAACGTTTTGCCTCCGGCGCCGCTCACTTGCTACAAAGCTCTCAGAAAAGGTTCCCTGTTCAAGGTAACCGGGGTGTCATGTATGAAACAGCGTGCCATCACTGTCAGCAAGACGTTCCTCATAGAATCTACGTCGCAAGCTTGCTCACGAGCGCTCGCGCTTACTGTCAATCGCTCTGCCTCAAACGCAGCTCACGCTTCAAAAACGTATCAAAATCGTAAAAGCACCCCCCCCCCCATTTGGTGTAATCGGGTCATTACTGACAAATCAGCTTAAAGCGATTGTCAGTGAGCTGCTTTGTTTAAGCACAGAGGGCAAATCTCCAGTTCAGTTCCCCAAGCCCACAGTGTGTAGCGATCGGGACCCGGAGACCATCCTCCCCTTGGCTACACATGCAAAATCATGGGAAGCGATTCCAGAGGTTTCAGAGTGGGTGTTAAGCTCAATATGACAGGGCTATGCACTTCAGTTCGCTCGCCGTCCCCCAAGTTTTGTCACACGGACAAGAGTCGACAGTGAATGCGGAAGTAGCACATCTACTCTGTGCAGAAATAGCCAAACTGCTGTGCCAAGGGGCCATAGAACCACCATCAAGCAGTCTAGAGCTCCCTCTACGCATCTATGCGTCTAAATGGTCTGTTTTCTCCAAACCATGCACTGACAGAAATCTGAACCCGCATAGGGGTGAGGTCTCGCAGGTGCTCGGTTTCCTTCAAGAACTGTTGGATAAGGGCAGGCCCCAATCCACGCTTAAAGGTTTCGTGGCGGCCGTTGCAACGTTCTCTAGGTCGAAGCAAGGCCGGACACTAGGAAGGAACAAGTTGTTCATACACTTCCTAAGAGGAGCCAGAAGGATGAACCCACTGAGACTTCTGTCAATCTAATATGTGTATGTCCTGCCCACGTGCTTGTGCACAGGCTACTTTCAACTAACCACCTCTAATCTGCACATATGTGGGCTGATACGCAACATGCAGCCCGGCGGCACCGCTCAGCATTTCCCATATGTGTGGGCTGCCTGAATTCCCACTTTTCAGTGTTCCCCTGACTCCCTGGGACTCATAAAGTCAAGTCAAGTCAAGTCACATTTATTTATATAGCGCTTTCACAATACAGATTGTATCAAAGCAGCTTCACAGTGATAACATGAAAGTAGCACAACACAGATCAACAACATTGCTAAACACTAAATAACCCCAACTGAGCAAGCTCAAAGCAAGCCAAAAGCAAGGCGACAGTGGCAAGGAACCAAACTCCATCAGATTGGATGGAGAAAAAACCTTGGGAGAACCCAGGCTCAGTCGGGGGCCAGTTCTCCTCTGGCTTACATTCATATTGTTTAAATATAAATATTAAGTATAAATATTGTTTATGAATCAAACGGCGCCATAACATATCGCAGGCGTTGAGTCGTCTCATCACAGGCGTTGAGTCGTCTCATCACAGGCGTTGGGGCATCCGAAATCCCCGTGAGAGGCTGGACACAAAACTGGACCTGACGAACGCCATTTTTCTCGGGACAAGCGTCCCGAGATAACAGCAGAAAGGCAGATGGGAAATAATTAGCATAGCTGATGTTCATAATAAAGTGGATGCTTGGCGCGTACGGCGTTGACAAGGGGTTCCCGTAGCGTAAGCTAAACTTACGCAATACGAGAGAACCTCTCGGAAGAGAATGAGAGGGAGCGAGTTTTGCGTAACCGGCCGTGCTCCCGCCACGAGCAATTTTCACTTCAGATGATGAAACCAGGGAAGCAGCCTCTGAGCCGTGCTTTTATACGCTTAGGCACACCCCCTAGAGCGGGCTGTGATGCGTAGTGTGCCCGAAGCGCCACCATTGGGTGTGACGTCACACCAGGCTCAGTGGTAGGCTGCTGCAGTTGCCGCAGAGCAGCCAATGAGCACGCTAGACAGCCATTCCTTTTCTAGAGAAAACTAAGGTTAAGTTGGATAACGTTATATTACATTATAAATACTTATATTATATTATAATAAGATATATTTGTGGCAATAAATAGATTTTTTTTTATGCCAAAAATCTTAAGTAAAGATTTAGATATTAAGTAAAGATCATGTTCCATGAAGATATTTTGTAAATTTCCTACCGTAAATAAATAAAACATTTATTTTTGTGAGTGAATGCAGCACAATTGTATAAGGCTAGTTTTGATTTTTTTGATTTATTTTTTTTTTTTGCACCCTCAGATTCCAGATTTTAAAATAGTTGGATTGCGGCCAAATATTGTCCTATCCTAACAATTCATCAATTAAAAGCTTATTTATTCAGCTTTCATATGATGTATAAATCTCAGCCAAAATTGTGACCATGTGACTGGTTTTGAGGTCCAGGGTCATATTAGTACGTACATTATTTATACATATCATTTTTCATACAAGAGATTTTTTTTTTAATATTATGTTTCAGTATATTTATATTTAACAAATTAACATTATTGTTGAAAGTCATTTATTGAAAGAGAGAAAATTCATAAATTATGAATTTCCTCCAACCTTGGTGTCTATTTCAACTCTGGTGCTATTATTATATTATATTCAAATCTGTTATAATTAAAAAAAAAAATCAAACACTGAATATCCTCTATACTATTTCATCAAATGTAGGTTTTCAAGAGTGCTCACAGTTTTCCTTTGTGGTACACTATTTACATAATGTCAGTTTTTACTAATTTATTGTAAAATGTTGACTCTCTAAACTCAAGGTGAGACCATTCGTATTGTGATCGAGGACTATGTGCAGCATCTGAGTGGTTACCGGCTGAAGCTCCGGTTTGATCCCAAGATACTGTTCACCTCACAGTTCCAGTACCAGAACCGCATTTCTGTGGAGTTCAGTCAGCTTTACCACTGGCACCCGCTCATGCCTGACAGCTTCCACATCGATGGAGATGATATTCAGTACTCTCAGTTCCTTTTCAACACCTCTATCCTCATGCACTACGGGGTGGAGAAGTTGGTCGAGGCCTTCTCAACCCAACCTGCAGGACAGGTAATGACACCATGAGGGTTAGGGAGAACTTAATCACTTCAATATCTGTTCTAAAAGGGAAGGTGCAGTGAGCCTTGGGTTGTGTCTGGGTTATGTTTAGGTCTGTTTTTGTCATTCCAAGGGTAATTTCCAATGAGTTTACCACCCTCCTCTATGGAAACATGTCTGTAAGTGTTTTATTGCAGAAAGACATGGAAGCCCCATACTTAAAATTTTACCCCAAAATTACTTCCCTCACCCTCATGCCATCCCAGAGCTTCAAAGTTGATGCTTTAAAAACCAAACAAAGAGAAGGTAATCCAAACAACCCTAACTGGACGCGCCTGGACATGCGATAAAAGGTATCTTTTCCATGTTTCCATGAGTGTCGTCATGACGAAGTAGTATGTCCCAAAGCTTGCCTACTCCTTTGCTACACACTCAAAAGTGTGTACTTTTTCTTCACAAAGGGCGTAGTATAAGTAGGCGAATTGGGACGAAGCCACAGGGTACTAGAAAAGGGAAAGGATCTAGAATATATTGTGGTAGCATTGTGGGTAAGAGGGGAGGAAGTTGTTATAGAAAATTGCTATAATCCTTGCTAAAGTTTGGAAGTAGATAAGTTAAGAATTAAAGGAAATAATAGAGAAAAAGTAATATCGTGTGCAGATTTTAAGGCTCACAGTAAAATATGGGGGGAGGGGGTTCACAGACAGATGTAAATGGAAGGGTAATTGAAGATTTGATGGATGATAAGGAATTAGTGTGAATGAATGACGGAGGAGGAACAAGAATTAACATAACAACAGGAAAGGAATTAGCTTTAGATTTGTCTAATCCCTTAGCTGGAATAAGTAACTGGCCTGTTTCAAACAATACAACAGTGGGCAGTGATTACTACCCAGTATCATGCTCAGTGGGAGAGCAAGTGGAAATAAGACCAGGTGAAGGAATACTTAAATGGGGTTTTAGAAGAGCAGATTGGGTCAAATTCCAGCAATTAACTGAGGAATCATTATCTAAGATAGTAATTTCTGGAAATTTAGACTGAACAAAAAAACAAATAACATCAGAAATGATTATGCCAGCAGCTGGATCTATTCCCAAGAGTAAACAAAGAAGGAATAAAAAACTGGTACCATGGTGGACAGAAGAGTGTCGTCAGGCTGTTAAAAAAAAGGAATAGAGCATTTAAACTAGTTAAAAACACCCATAACATGCAGCATTTGATTCAGTATAAAAAGGCACAGGCTAATGTGAGAAACAGTACGTCAAGCTTAAAGGGCAAGTTGGAAGACATTTTGCAATGCAATAGGAAGATCAACACCTGAAGGAGAGGTTTGGGGAATGATAAAAAGGATATGTAAAGAACTTGGGTCTATGAAATATTAATAATCAATAATAACTTGTTGTGGTTAATTATGAATATTTGGGTCAGTTAATTGGATTCAGTTCGTCCAACAAACTCTTTTAATTGTTCATTTATTCTAAGAATTGGGTATCTTCCATGGCCACAGAAGAATAATTATTTCTTAGCATGTACAGCGCTTTGAGCATGTAGCAAGATCAAGATTGTAAAAGTGACGTTGTTTGCAAGCAGTGAATCAGACACAAATACATAAAGTGCACAAGTTTTATTAACTAAATCATAAACATGAAGAAACTAAACAAACCTATATACATACATACATGCATACCTACATAAATAGGTGAGTGACAGAATGAAATGGGAAACAGGGAAAGGAACTATGAGAAGATCCATGTGAACTCTTAAAAGAACCAACAGCATTTCATTTCCACATTTTATTGAATTGGGTTCCGGCAGTGGCAAGTGGAATTTGTTTGAACGTTTTCTTTCTCTATGAGCACATGGCAGTTTTGGTCAAAGCCTGAACCACTGTTGAGGCCACCCCGGGCACCCAGGAGAAGTGAGGAAGTCGGAACAGTGGGTGATTGGAGTCATTGTTGGTTGGAGCCGTGGTTCCAAACTCCTGAGATTATTCTTGGTTCTTTGTGAGAGTCTTCTCTCTCCTGCCTTAGCGCATATCTGGTTGGATCAAGGCCTGTGGGGCCCTGGGCCATGTTGAGGGGGAAGCGGTTCCCCAGTATCACCAGAAACAGTGTTGCAGCTGGATGAGAAAACCCAAGAGAGTGAGGTCACATGTGGACTGTCTCTAATAAAGCCTGAGAAAGATCCAATCCCTAAAGGTTGACTGACCAATAAGAAAGGTGCCATGTCTGAGAGGGAAAGTGGCTCTTGGTTGATTTATGGTCTTTGTCCCCAGTGTGCTTAGACTGTTCATTCATTCTCAAATAGACATAACAAATCCACATTGCATTCTCAGAGAATGTGATGTACATCAAAGTTTAAGTCATTAAATGATGATTAATTGGGTAGGAGGCATGATACAGGTGAGGTTACATTGACCATTAGCTGGTTGTATAATACTGGGTTTCTGTCTTCCCATTGTCTCTCTCTTGCGCGTGTGGCCACATTCCTGAGGAGGTTGTAAAATCTCCTTCTCAGCCCTGTAACATGACACTGTTTCAGCTCTTGTGTTCGTTTCATTCGGGGTGTTAGCTTTGGAGTTACAAAGTAAAACTTTGTATATAATGAATAATTAGTGTGTGTCTGATGGGTCCAGACCCTACAGATGAGGAGTAAGGAGAATGGGAAATTCCAGCTCTAACTACTAAGGAAGGAATAGCAATCTCCAATAAGGATGAGGCAGAGATCAAATAGTTTTGGTAAGGACATTCAAGTACCACATAAATAAAGATTATAAAGAATTCATACATGTGTATATATAGATGGTTCTAAGAAAGCTGTGAACAGGGGTGACAGGATATGGGGTGGCAATACCTGCTAAAGGAATAGGAATTAATAGAAAAAACATCAGATTGTCTTAGGTATATACACAGTGGAAATGGTGGCAGTGTTAGTTGCGTTAGGGTGAGTGGAAAAAACAAGACTAGAAAAGGTGCTGATATGCTCTGATTCATCCTCATTGCTTGTTAGTTTAAGGTCTTTTCCCTTGAAAAGCTGTCAGGATGTTTTGTCCTTCAATCAGTTACAAGGATAACAAATCAAGGAGGACAGGTACAATTTATGTGGGTTCCAGCACATGTAGGGGTGAAAGGGAATGAGCAGGTGGATGAATTGGCATAGAGGGCTTTGAAGAAGGGAAATATAGAAATGCAAATTAAAATAAGTAAAGCAGAGGTCAAAAGTATCATCTGGGCAAAAACAAACCAAATGCAGCGAGAAAGGAAGGCATTTATATCAAATTAAAAAGAGTATAAAAATAACTAGGTTAGGTGGTTGGCACAGGAGAGAGGAACTGTAATGACAAGGTTAACACTGGGGCACAGTGTTCTAAATAAATCACTGAAAATGATAGGAAAACATGAGACAGGCTTGTGTGAGTGGTGTCAGTGGAGCAGATGATTTTAGGATGTGGGAGGTTTGAGGTACAGAGAGTGATAATGAGGAATAATTTGAGGGAATTAGGGTGCAGGAATTAAAGGAGTAGTTCAATTTAAAAAAAAAAAAAAAAAAATTTGCTGATAATTTACTCACCCTCATGTCATCCAAGATGTCCATGTCTTTCTTTCTTCAGTCGAAAAGAAATTAAGGTTTTTGAAGAAAACATGGCTGGTGTGTGGTCATTGGCTAAACTGTCGCTCACGTTGTCCGGATACTTCACGCCCATTACCTTTACGGGCGAAACGTGCCTGCAATCATGTAAATAATGGTGTCGAACTGCAGTTTGAGGCATCAAGCAGAACCTCACCACACACGTCTCTTACTAAACGTTTCTGAAGGATAATTTGCTACATTTTTTTAACTTTATACACGTTTGTTTTACACAATAGCATCTGACTGGCAACAATAGCAACTGACTGGCTACTAATGTTATACTCAAACAGCGATGGCATTAGTTGATCAAATAGAAAATAACATCATAAAGCATATATAGATGAAAAATATGTTTAAAACATTAGTACTTATACAAAATTCAAGTCCATAATGTTTGTACGCGTTTGTTGTAGACACAAATTAGCATAACTAGTAGCCTAGTGGCTATAAAGCCAGCGCTGGCATTTGAAGAAAAAGAAAACACAAGGCTAGGTCTGGAATTATACATGCAAATACATTTAAAATGATGAAGTCTTAGCCTACTTACAGGTTGTGGCCCAACAACTGCTGCCTCTGGTTTTAAAGTTGGATCTGCTTCATGTTTTAGTAACAGTTTCTTGTTGAATCCGGTGTTGAATTCGTGGAGATTCTGGAAGCTGTCTTCCATAAAATGGGCAGCACAGAGAGCTAAATTACGATCGTCATTTTTAGGAACATAATCAAACATAAATTTTATCCATTGTTGACAAAGTACAGCGTCCATGGGAAGCTCGAACACAGAAGACCTGGGGCCTGTTTCAGAAAGGAGGTTAAGTGAAACTCTGAGTATGTTAACCCTGAAATGAGGGAAACTCTGGGTTTTCCGTTTCAGAAAGGGGGGTATATCAAACCTGAGAAAGCAGAGTAAGTCAAGCCCGTTTCTGAAAGAGAGGTAACTTATACTCAGAGTCAGTAACCATGGTAACTTACTCTGTGAACCTAACCTGGTCGGGAACAGGTTTTCTTCAGTAAACCCAGAGTTTCTTTCGGTCTCCTCTTTTTTTAAAGAGAAAGTGCTGTTTAAACACCAACAATAATACTAAAATGTATTTACACATTCTTTAAGGAATATATATTGTGTGTCCATGGTTTAATTGACTAAATCTGTTTTGCAGCACTTTGCCAAAAAATAAAACATGATCCATTAATAAAACATGACTAAAAGGAGTGTTATATAGGTGACAGAACACAGGTTAGGATATTGTTAAGTGTGTTGTGAAATGAATAAACGTGTGTGTGTTAAGATTTTTTTTTTTTTTTTTTTTTTTTTTTTCGTGAGGAAACTAGATTGTAAACCTATTGTCTGATTCACACTCCGGAGCAGAAGGAATGCAACAAAAGCTGGTTGCCAACTGCCGTTAAAAACAAAGAAGTAGTCCTTGTCGATTCTACTTTATTCATGATTGAGTTCAGAGTGTGAATGTTACCTTTGTGTGTGTACCGTCTGCCACCCTTTACCTGTTTGTTGTCTTGTTATTAGTAAAAGTTTGTGTTGGAGCCTTTTGACTTTGAGTCTTCTTAAACCCTTTAGTTTAGCTTGACCAATGAGAAAGGTGTAATTTTCAAGTGGGAAAGGTTTCTTTGTTTGGAAGCCGACTCATTTGCATGATCAGTTTGAGGTGGCAGTTTGCGTCCCTTCAAACTCTGATCAATATAACAAGCATACAGTGCATGCTATAAAGAGGTGATATACACCGATGTGCTGGCCGTTAAACAAGGATCATTTTGATTGGAAGCTTTCTGGTCTATGCTGTTGCATGTGACAACCTTCTGCATTTTTCTACTTGGTAAATCATGTCTTATCTCACTGGCATATCTTTGCTGCCATGGTAACCAGGGGCCTGTTCTGCCCTTTCAGGTGGTTGTCACAGACACCTTGGCACATAGTTTTGTTTTTGGGAGAGAGCACATTCAATTTAATAACTGGGGTTTGCATGGATTACTTTCTTGTTCACTTTGCATGTTTTTAGAAGAATTGACTTTGAGATTTATCCACTTGGATTAAATTACATTAAAGAGATTGTTTTTTTTTTTTGTTGTTTTTGTTTTTTGTTGTGTGTGTGTTGTCATATACGTATGGGGCGGTACATTTTTAGGTGGAGTATCGCTTTAACTGTAAAATAGTTTAGCTGAACAACAGAATACAGACAGAAACGTTTGTAGTGTGTGTGTGTGTATATATATATATATATATATATATATATATATATGTGTGTGTGTGTGTGTGTGTGTGTAGTGTTTATGTATGTATATGCGTGTTGGTATAATCTGATGGGTATGATTCTGTGAAACTTGTATGATGGTGGGATTTCTGTTAGATAAACATCAAGCCTTTATATCAGAGCATAATCAGCCTTGTGGGTAGGATCACACATAATATGTGCCTGCAGAATATCAACAAAAAGCTCTGCAGAACCTTGAACTAATGTTGATAAACGGTAAACATTTAATTACATTCTAAAATTCTTATGCTCACCAAGGCTGCTTTTATTTAATTAAAATATCACTAAAACAGTAATTGCGAAATGTTATTACAATTTAAAATAATTGTTTTCTATTTTTAGAAATGTAATAATTTAATGTATCCCTGTGATGTCATAAGTGCCATATGATTCTTCAGAAATCATTCTATGCTGATTTGCAGCTAAAGAAACATTTATTTTTATTATTATTATCACCATCAATGTTTTTGCTGCTTAACATTTTTGTTGAAACTATGAGACCATTCACTAAGAGTGAAATTAAAACTTATATTCATCAAGGATCCATTAAATTGATCAAATGTGAAAGTGAAGATATAATGTAACAAAATATTTCTGTTTAATAAATGCAAAAAAAAAAAAAAAACGTTCAAATATTCGGTCACTTGTTTTAGAGTCTAATTCTCACTGTTATTAAATAAATGCAGCCTTGGTGTGCAAAAAAAAACAGGCACTGTAGATATGTATGTGTTTACTTATTTTTAATAGCTGAAAATGTCATTTCACCAAGGAATGTAATGTTTCTCTAAGAGATTTAACGTACAACGTATTTTTAAATGATCGTTTTTATTTATGGTAAAGATGGCTCATTTTGTATGTATTTTTTTTTTAAATTATAAATCTGTTTGTGCTGGAACAGATCGGAGGTGGTCATAATATTCACCCAGTGGTGTGCAAAGTAGCTGAGGGGGCCATCACTGAATCGAGGGAGCTTCGACTTCAGCCCTTCAATGAGTATCGCAAGAGATTCAATCTGAAACCCTATACATCATTCTCTGAATTTACAGGTATGATTGTACTAACACCTTTTTAAAGCTTCATTTACAATGAAAAGTACAAGGAAAGAATCATGGACAAATTATCATAAAGAGCTTCTGTGGTTTCTTGAATGCTCACTATATATTATTTTTAAGAGGTCCGCATGCATTTGATTTATCATTTATTCTTAAGGGGTAATGAGAGAAATAAATTCAGGGTTACTTTTTATATACTTAATGTTTAAACAATGTTTAGGTGCTTACTACACAACACGTGCGCTACCCATCTGCACACTATATTTATGCAGGGTGTATAGGCGATTAATGGCTGAAATTACTGTTTTACAGGAGATGAAGAAATGGCTAAAGAACTAGAGGAACTCTACGGCGATATTGATTCACTAGAATTCTACCCAGCTCTTCTTCTAGAGAAGACACGACCTGGTGCGATATTTGGCGAAAGTATGGTGGAAATGGGAGCCCCATTTTCCCTAAAAGGCCTGATGGGAAATCCCATTTGCTCCCCTGACTACTGGAAGCCCAGTACATTTGGGGGGCAGACAGGCTTTGATATAGTAAACTCTGCTTCTTTGAAGAGACTGGTTTGCCTCAATACAAAATGGTGTCCTTATGTATCTTTCCATACTCCTCCATCAGATTATAATCAACAGAAGACATCTCATGGTGGTGAACTTTAGCACAATGTACTTCTCCAATCTGTTTTAAATCAAAGACCACAATTTTGATCTTTAATAAGAAGCTTAATGATATTCAAGTAATTTGATAAAAATAATAAACTTGTATACCAGAAATGAACTAGTTATTAGAGAGTTCTTATTTGTTACAAGGTGATTGAAGAATCATTTTTCATAATATTACAATATAATGGGTAACACTTTACAACAAGGTTCATTAGTTAATATTAATGTATTAACTAACATGAACTAACCATGAGAAATACATGAGCAATATCTTTGTTAACGTTAGTTAATAAAAAAATATAGCTGTTCATGTTAGTTCACAATGCATTAACTAATGTTAACAAGATTTGTACAGTATAATGTATTAGTAAATGTTAAAATTAACATTAACACATATTAATAAATGCTGTATGTGTGCAGTTCATTATTAGTGCTAACAAACTAATGAACCTTATTATAAAGCGTTACCATATAATGAATGCTTTTGCAATATGAAATAATGTTCAGAAAGAACACACATGAGTATATATGGACTTAACTGACTCTTTGCTAAGTCCCGTCTTAATTGATTGATTGATTGATTGATTGATTGATTGATTGATTGATTGATTGATTTACTTTATTAATCCCCAGGGGGGAAATTTATATGTCACAGCAGCACATAAATACAATAAAAATAAAATAAAAACACAACAACAACAACAGGTCTTGTACTCAAATATCAATTTTTCAAAGCATTATGACCATGATTAAAAAGTATTTGCCAGCATTTGTTCTTTTATTATTTAACTTAAAGGGATAGTTCACTTTGAAAATAATTTTTGATATGTTTTAGCTTACCTCAAGGGCATCTAAGATGTAGGCGTCTTTGTTTCCACAGTATTTTCAATTTTGACATTTTTCGGTCAAACCGGTGTTGTCTGTCAGTCATATAATGCAGTTTTAGGGGGTCCACCTCAAAAAGCATGCACAGAGAAGTCAAAATTAAACATGATTTAATGATTCATAAATGTAAGTACACACTGATGGCCTAAGACACGAAACGAGCGATTTGTGTGAGAGAACAGTATTTATATAGTTTTTACCTCTTGTTAACAGCCATCGAACTGATCTGAACCAGATGTCCAACTGAACCGAACTGAAACGTCTCCAGACGTTACGCCGGAAGTGATCGCTTGCGTGTGTACGTCACGCATTGTTTACACGGAAGTTTTACCATTCAATAAACATATTAGATGTACGGGGAATCGCAATGGAAGACTATTTCGATATATCTAAATATGTTTAGTGAAAGGTAAAACTTCCAAAATCTCCGTGTAAACAATGCGTGACGTACACACGCAAGCGATCACTTCCGGCGTAACGTCTGGAAGACGGTTCAGTTCAGTTCAGTTGGACATCTGATTCAGATCAGTTCGACGGCTGTAAAAATGATATAAATACTGTTTGTTTTCTCACACAAACCGCTCGTTTCGTGTCTTAGGCCATCGGTGTGTACTTACATTCATGAGTCATTAAATCATGTTTAATTTTGACTTCTCTGTTCATGCTCTTTGAGGTGGACCGCCTGCATTATATGACTGACCGACAACAACGGTTTGACCAAAAAATGTCAAAATTGAAAATACTGTGGAAACAAAGACACCTACATCTTGGATGCCCTTGAGGTAAGCTAAAACATATCAAAAATTAATTTCAAAGTGAACTATCCCTTTAACAATTTATCCCAGCCCACTTAATGAGCATATTTTACTGAAAATCATGCTGTTAACAATAATATCCAGTTTATTTTATGAAGTGTTTATGGGAAGTTTGTGAGAAACAATAACTAAAGGTGGAGCTTAACAAAATATCCGAGGATTAGAGGATTTACGAGGTTGGTAATTCTATTCAGTATTGTGGTAGGACTTTAAAATTAGTTTCCATTTGTTAATATTAGTTAACAAGAACTAACACTCAAAATTACTTCTAAAGCATTTATTAATCTGAGGGGCCATTTTCAAACTTTGTATGCATTTTGGCCGTACATTTACATGATAACTGCATTTTGAGGGAAACGGTTTTCAAAGTGCAAGTTTTTGAAAACGCTACTGTTAAGGGTTATATAAAGTACAATGTATAAGGGTTCTATAAACTCCATGTAAACAACAAAAACACATGCGTGTTCACATCAATAATTAAGATAACAAATGTAGCCTACTGATCATTGTCAGTTAATATTTGTTAATGCATTCACTAACTTTAACTAATGGAGCCATATTGTAAAGTGTTACCAGTATGGTTTACCATTTACTTTATACAGTGAACATGGGCATCTATTACCTTATTTGTTACCTACTTGATCTAACCATTAAAATGGCTTCTGTTGGTGTAAAGTTAAAACATTTTTTTTACTTGAATAAAATCTGAACAAATAGCTTTGTGCAATGACATTGAGGGATGATTTTCAATTAAGTAATTCAAACGTTTTATTCAATTTGGCCGTTCATTTACAATACCGTTATTTTCAGCATGTACTCTGCACGTGCATGCATATTATGTCTTCAGTCTATAGGCTCTCAGGGCCCTATCAAACACTCGGCGCAATGCAGGGCCAAGTGTTTTTTGCCAGTTTCAGCCTGACGCAGTTATCATTTTCCCATCCTGTAAATAGCCTGTTGTTTTAATAGCAAATGCATTGGTGAGCCCATGGTCTGGACTGAAAACGAGGTGTTTTCAGGCGCATTGTTGGCGTGCTGCTACAAACCCAATTCCATAAAAGTTGGGACACTGTACAAATTGTGAATAAAAACAGAATGCAATGATGTGGAAGTTTCAAATTTAATATTATATTTAGAATACAACATAGATGACATATCAAATGTTTAAACTGAGAAAATGCATAATTTTAAGGGAAAAATAAGTTGATTTTAAATTTCATGGCATCAACACATCTCAAAAAAGTTGGGACAAGGCCATTTTTACCACTGTGTGGCATCCCCTCTTCTTTTAATAACAGTCTGCAAACGTCTGGGGACTGAGGAGACAAGTTGCTCAAGTTTAGGAATAGGAATGTTGTCCCATTCTTTTCTAATAAAGGCTTTTAGCTGCTCAACTGTCTTCTTCTTTGTTGCATCTTCCTCTTTATGATGCGCCAAATGTTTTTTTTTATGGGTGAAAGATCTGGACTGCAGGCTGGCCATTTCAGTACCCGGATCCTTCTTCTACGCAGCTATGATGTTGTAATTGATGCATTATGTGGTTTGGCATTGTCTTGTTGGAAAATACAAGGTCTTCCCTGAAAGAGACGACGTCTGGATGGGAGCATATGTTGTTCTAGAACTTTACCTTTCAGCATTGATGGTGCCTTTCCAGATGTGTAAGCTGCCCATGCCACACGCACTCATGCAACCCCATACCATCAGAGATGCAGGCTTCTGAACTGAGCGCTGATAACAACTTGGGTTGTCCTTGTCCTCTTTAGTCCGGATGACATGGCGTCCCAGTTTTCCAAAAAGAACTTCAAATTTTGATTCGTCTGACCACAGAACAGTTTTCCACTTTGCTAGAGTCCACTTTAAATGAGCCTTGGCCCAGAGAAAACGCCTGCGCTTCTGGTTCCCGTTTAGATATGGCTTCTTTTTTGACCTATAGAGTTTTAGCTGGCAACAGTGAATGGCACGGTGGATTGTGTTCACTGACAATGTTTTCTGGAAGTATTCTTGAGCCCATGTTGTGATTTCCATTACAGTAGCATTCCTGTGTGTGATGCAGTGCCGTCTAAGGGCCCGAAGATCACGGGCATTCAGTATGGTTTTCCGGCCTTGACCCTTATGCACAGAGATTGTTCCAGATTCTCTGAATCTTTGGATGATATTATGCACTGTTGATGATGATAACTTCAAACTCTTTGCAATTTTTCTCTGAGAAACTCCTTTCTGATATTGCTCCACTATTTTTTGCCTCAGCATTGGGGGAATTGGTGATCCTCTGCCCATCTTGACTTCTGAGAGACACTGCCACTCTGAGACGCTCTTTTTTATACCCAATCATGTTGCCAATTGACCTAATAAGTTGCAAATCGGTCCTCCAGCTGTTCCTTGTATGTACATTTAACTTTTCTGGCCTCTTATTGCTACCTGTCCCAACTTTTTTGGAATTTGTAGCTCTCATGAAATCCAAAAGGAGCCAATATTTGGCATGGCAATTCAAAATGTCTCAGTTTCAACATTTGATATGTCATTTATATTCTATTGTGAATAAAATATAAGTTTATGAGATTTCTAAATTATTCCATTCTTTTTTTACTCAAAATTTGTACAGTGTCCCAACTTTTTTAGAATCGGGTTCTATTTTAAGGCAACTGAAATAGACTGTGCCATTGACCTGAACAGTATTTTTTTGTTGTTGTTTTTTAAAGAGCGCATTAGTAATATGCGCCTATAGGCTATCCGTTTCCTCTCTGGAGAAGCGTTCAGTCTTTCTGCTTGCAAATTCTGCCATGCTAATGGCAAATCCGCCATGGCTCGTTGCCAACTGGCTTTTAAAGAGAATGGGAGATGAGATTCTGGTTTATTGCATGTAAAGCCCAAAACACACCCATTTCTCATTAAGAGAATAGGGACAGCCTTTTTAGACCATCCTTTTATACAAGCAAAAGTAGATTCTGACTGACACGACTTAAGTGCACTTGCACCTTGTGCTTTAGACCATGCGCTTAGATCGTTAAAATAGCTATAATAGACTAAAATATCGTTTTTAGTCATTTGCATGAATCCATGTGAATGGGGATCATTTTAGTTAAAAACGTTTCAGTTTTTAGTATATTGTTGACTCGTAAACAACCCTTAGGTTTACAGGCACTCATGTTGCCAAACATCTATCCATCCATTTTCCAAATTATGTGGGTCGGTGGAGTCTATCCCAGGTAAACACCCTGGACAAATGGATGACCAGTCCACCGCAGGCAAAATAAATATTTAGCTTTTCTAATTCTCATAGTATTTGCCTCATAGTTTGATCTGTTAAGTAAATGTATGGTCTAAAGCACTGTTCAACTTGGGGGGAAAAAAGTAATTTGGCATTGAACTTTGAATATGTGACTGGCCGTTTTTTTTTTTTTTGTTTGTTTGTTTTGTTTTTTCAGTGTTTACTGTTGAATTAATTTATCTTCCTTGAAATAAACTTATATAACCTTATATACTATCCCTGTCCTTCTAAGCAAAAGGTAAGCATTTAGCACCAATATTATTAGAATTTTCTGTAATGTGATTTTGTTTGTCAAAAAGAACTGAATCTGTACGTCTGATAATTGTCAAAAGTGGTTTACTGAAATAAAACAGAAAATATTCTATTTTACAAGTTTTTAAATTGTACATTTGAATGGTGTGATTATGCTTACCATTTCAACAAATTAAAAACAAATTGAGGCCATTAATACAGAGAATGACATTTTCTCTTTTCATTACACTATTAATTGTTCTGAATACAATTATATAGTTTAAATGCTATTCAATAATACTTGTGTCTCAGCTTCCTATAATATGACTTGTGTAAGTTCAAGAAAGTCAACAAGAAACATAGTTTATTATTTGATAAATTTTACTTCTATATACAGTAAAAGGAAATTACAACAGTTGGTTACCCATGAAGTACAATATTCCCAAAATTGTGAGATTAATGTTTAAGAATACAGTTCACAGCAATAACTAATGTTAAGGGTAGTTTAACCTTTGGCACGAGCAGAAATAACAGTCAAGTTGTTGCACAATTAAACCATTTTACAACTTTTAAGTTCCATGATCTCATTGCATTTACTCTCCGTTAAAGTGGAGACCTTTTCCAACAATATTTTACACAATTCCATGGTTAGGCTCGTAGAAATACTTCCTAAAAATATGTTTGAAAAGTAGCTGAATATTATCTAATTTTCAGAAATACATTAACATATACATTTAATTACTTGCAGTATTTTAAATTCCTTGGCATATGAAAAAAAGTGTCTGTGAACCTGATGAATGATAAATGTTACCTGCAAATATTCCTTGTGTCTGCATATGCATACTTCCCTTCTACAAAAATATACAGTACAACAAAAAGCTGAAAGTGAATTATATTTATCATACAGACCACAAAAGATTTCATGGTTGTTATTCTGTAAATGTCAATATTTCATATATTAAAATGTCTTAGTAAAAATTAATGATGGTACCTATTGTTGTAACTATATATTCTTATATATAAATAAAATGATTAAATATTCTTTAATTAATTTAACATAAAGTGAAAAAATCCTTGAATATTCAAACTACAATTTTACATGTATTTTTTACCTTATTATTAAACATTCCAAACATCTGTTATGGAAGAAATGGTGGTTCATCTGATTGAAAAAAAGGAAATATTAAAAAAGCTTTTTAAACTAATTCACAAATATTGAGATGATTAATATAAAAATAAGATTTTGCCCAAATAAATATTTTTAGTTATATCTTCCAGACCTAATGCCACTTTTGTATATATATATAGTGATTTTTAAAAATGGTTTAACATCTAACAAATGTAAATTTACTGTCAAATATTATTAATAACTTTATGGGTTTTGGAAGTTAGGCTATGTATCGCCATATAATTTACAGATAATTCTTCTTTTTTTTTATTATCGGTTACATACCACTAGTAATGTTACCAACACACCATGGTGATACTGGAAACATTGTCACTTTATCTTTATGTTAAATTTCTTAATTTTTTTACTGTAAATTTAACAGTATTTTTTCAGTGCAGTACAGCAGATGTACAGTACAGTAAAAAGTCACATCAAATTTAAATTTAGTACATAGTACTGGGAAAGTACGGAAATTCTATCGCATGGCTCCATATGAGCTCAGACTCCTTAGGTGCCCTTTCGCTAAATCAACATTATAAGAAATGGCAATCATTAAAAAAAAGAGGGAGAAAAAGCATCAACCCCATCTTTAAACTAACTGACAGTAGTGAAGAGAGCGATTTAAAAAAAAAAAAGAAGAGACTTCAATATTTGTTAAACACACTTGTTATTTACTGTGGCTAGCAGAGGGTGCAGATAGTTCATGGTCCAGCCTGGTGTTCACCTGCTGGCCCGGGGGCCCCAAAAGCAGGGCATTGAGGAATGCCAGCTGCTGAGGGGGCCGAAGGGTAGAAGTGCACATCCACAGCCACAGAGGTCATGCCCAGAGACACGCAGTGGGACAGCATGAGGGGAGAGAAACCGTGGGAGATACTAATGCTGTGGCGCACAGGAGTTGAGGAGGGATCGGTGGTCTGGAGGGTCAGGGAAGACCGCAGACCCTCCTCCTGGGCAGGTGCTGGATTGGCTGGAGGAGGTGAGGGGGCGTCCTGACATGGTTCAAATTCTCTGCTCCTCCAGTCCTCCATACACTGCAGCTGAATGTCAGAATGTGGTGAGGGAGACACCTTCCCCTCCTCAAATATTGTCTCCAGCTAATTCATAATGGAAAAAAGACACAATATTGTTAAAAAGTAAGTGTTGCTTCTTCCTTTATATCTTTTAATGCTCAAATTGACTGTACGTTCTTTATGTGTGGAGTCACTGAGATTACGTTTTTTGAATAGGAATAATACTAGCAAGTTCAAAATCAATCTAATCATTTAACAGAAAATTAATACATGTTGAAGAACGTTAAAGGCATACTCCACTTTTTTGGGAAATACGCTCATTTTACAACCCCCCCAGAGTTAAACAGTTGAGTTTTACCTTTTTTGAATCCATTCAGCCGATCTCCGGTTCTGGCGGATCTCCGGTTCCACTTTTAGCATAGATTAGCATACATCATTGAAGTGCACAAAACCATTAGCATTTCTCCCAAAAAAATTACCAAAGTGTTTCGATATTTTTCCTATTTAAAACTTGACTCTTCTATAGTTACATCGTGCACTAAGACAGACAGAAAATGTAAAGTTGTGATTTTCTAGGCTGATATGCAGGGAACTATACTCTCATTCCTGCGTAATAATCAAGACACTTTACTGCCGTACTATGAGTGCAGCAGGCACAATGACTACACAAACTTAGTCCCAGTCATGTTGGAAGCTGGGCACTATTTTCAGGCGCTGCGTCATAACTAGGGCTGTCAAAACGATTAATCGCGATTAATCGCATCCAAAATAAAAGTTTCTGTTTACATAATATATGTGGGGGCACTGTGTATAATTATTTTGTATATATATACTGTATATAAAACACACATGCATGTATATTTAAGAAAAAAATATTATTTATATATAAAATATTTATATTTATATATAATATAAATTATATATAAATCTATATACAGAATATACACAAAATATTTCCTAAATATATACAAGCATGTGTGTGTATTTATATATATATATATAATAATTATACACTGTACACCCACATATATTATGTAAACACAAACTTTTATTTTGGATGCGATTAATCGCGATTAATCGTTTTGACAGCCCTAGTCATAACATTACGCCTGCTGCACTCATGGTGCGACAGTGAAGTTTCCTAAATATTACGCAGGAATGAGAGTATAGTTCCTAGTCATATCAGCCTAGAAAATTGCAACTTTACATTTTCTGTCTGTCTTAGTGCACGATGTAACTATAGAAGAGTCAAGTTTTAAATAGGAAAAATATCGCAACACTTTGGTAATTTTTTTTGGGAGAAATGCTAATGGTTTTGTGCACTTCAATGATGTACGCTAAGCTATGCTAAAAGTGGTACCGCAAGAACTGGAGATCGGCTGATTGGATTCAAAAAAGGTAAAACTCAACAGTTTAACTCTGGGGGAGTTGTAAAATGAGCCTATTTCCAAAAAAAAAAAAAGTGGAGTATCCCTTAAATGCTGGTTTGTTCCATACAATGACAGTGAATGGTGATCAGGGGCTGCGAGATCCCAAAAAAGACAAGGGTGCTATAAAATTGGTCCATATCACACAAGTTACAGTATATTCACAGTCTGTGTATAAATTATGAAGCCCTTAAATTACACTACCATTTAAACATCTGGGATCCGAATTTTTTATTTTAAAAGCAAAGAATTGATCAAAACTTTCATTGGTAATTTCACAAAATATTTATTTTTCAAATAAATGCTGTTCTTTTGAATCCTGAAAATGACTTCACTTTCCACAAAAAAATTAAGCAGGAAAATTGTTTTCAACATTGATAATAATTAGAAACGTTTTAAAATCTAACACAGTCTCATCCCAAGACGTCATATAACTGACGTCTTTTGACCATACGTCAACATCCGCCGTTTTAGGGTACCCTTTAACGTTGGTTACGTGACGATCCTGGGACGTCATACAACTGACGCTTTACCTTTAACATCAGTTACTGTAGGTGACGGGGTAGGTTTAGGTCTGGGGAAGGGTTAGGATCCGATAACGTCATCTAACCGACGTTAAAGGGTACCCTAAAACGGCGGATGTTGACGTATGGTCAAAAGACGTCCCAAGAGGTCAGTTATATGACGTCTTGGGATGAGACTGCGCTGTAAAATCAGTATATTAGAATGATTTCTGAAGGATCATGTGACGCTGAAGACTGGAGTAATGTTGAAAATTCCGTTTTGCATCACAGGAATAAATTACAGCTTAAAATATATAGAAAACAGTTGCTTAAATTGTAACAATATTTCAATTAGCGACCGTTAAAGAAGGAAGTTCTATGTGAACCCACCATTCAAGCAATTGCAAATTCGAAAGGGAAAGTAAAATATACGTTTGGGCATTCATAAGCAGTTTAAAATCGAGGTGAAAAATTGAGAAAAACTCTAACAACACCCCCAACCCCAGTGTTGTCACACATCAATTTACAGGTGGGAAAATGTCCTCACTGCCACATCCCTACTTCTACTGACCTGGTCCTCCTCTCTAGGCTCCGGGTGAGTCTCCACAATAACTGGCAGGTCATGGGTGGAATGGAAACCCTCTTGCACATCATCTAATGGTGGTTCTATCATCATGGTGGATGGGCAGCTTTCTGTTGGAAGCGCTCTTGTCTCGGATATATTGGGGCTTTGTTCAATAACAGCCACCAAATTATCATCCTCAAATGCTCTGAAATGTGCCGTCATTAAAAAAATGTTACAAAAACTATAACTCAATGAAAGGGATAGTTCATGCAAAAAAAGAAATTTCGGTCATTAAATACTCATGTCGTTCCAAACCCATTATACAATTAATAAATGCTCTCAACATAACTAACTTGTTATCATATGTCCTTTCCATCGCAAGGCGTTCCCCATGTCTGCAAGGCCCACCCATACACCTCAGAGCTATGAGGAAAAAAATTATATATACATTTTTTTATGCATTTGAAAAACTCATTCACTCATCACAGGTCTATGCTAGTATAGTGAGCATCAAGGTTTATTTTTATTATATTAAAGTCTCACCTGCTCTCCCTGTAGGCATAGCAGCAGGATCATTTGTCTGAACCAGAGAATAAAAGGCCATGGCAATGAAAATGAATGCCAAAGAAACACCTACTCCAACCACAATGGGAATGTCATGTTTCTCAATCACAGGCAACCAAGTCTGAGATTTCTCCTTTTCTCTGAGGAAAAGAGGGTCATGTGTTATTTAAAAATCACAAATCAAACAAAGCATGAATCAAAAAGCATGTTTCAGCAAATTTTCAGGAAAAATGGCAATTAAAGGAACTAAAATACCATCAAAATCTCTCATTCCACACTTTCTCTTGACAACGCTGAACTATAGTTTCAAGAATTCATAAATATATCTATGCTCATAAGATTAAAACCAAGAAAATGGTAAAAAAAAAATCCTAAAATCGTTTTTTTTTTCATCCTGTGTACCACACAATACAAATTAATTAAAGTTACAACTATTTAAGGATCTACGTACATAAAAGTATTGACTAAAACTAAATGTATTGTCATTCTGTCATGTTCAGTAATAGTTTGTTAAGGTTGAAAGAAATAATACTTTTTGTTTCAAAGTTATTGACTTAACTATTAACTAAATGACTATTAGGGTGTATATATCATAATCTTACACTATAAAAAAAGACCAAAATAACTACTTTAATTATGAAATATTTTAGGGGGGAGGGGGTTCAGCTGATAAGCTGATAAATGAAGAAGCTAATTTGATAACCAACCTGTTATTATTGTCAGTGGTCTTCATAGGGGCCTGTGAGGTGTTTTTCTTGAGTGATTCAACTAGTTCTGTGTCATTTGTCACCGATGATTTCGTACCTCCAGACTGCTTAATGCTTTGACTCTTATTCTGATGCTGTTCCACAGTGAAGTTGTCCACATCCATTAAAGGTAAGCCTGGAGTCTGGGAAAAGCTTTGAATGTTTTTAATCTGAGAATATGAGTCTGCAGGCGAGGGGCTGTTTGTGATTGGATTCATTAATGGAGGTTTAGTGACCTGGTCCGTTGGTTGGATATGTGGATGTGTATCCTGCATAAAAGTCTCTTTGAGTTGGGGAGATGTTGTTGGTTTGACGGGCACAGCAGTTGGATTTTGTGTTTGAATACGTTCTTTAATGTTATCATTACTTCCTATGCTAATGCCAGTTGGCTTCAGTGAAATCAACTCTGTAGTGTCTTGGGTAGATTCAAGATTCAAATATGTTGGTGAGTCCTCCACAAAAGCATTCAACACTGCAACAAACAAAGAAAATAAGAATGAGGAAAAAAACAACCCAACGCACCAAACAAACAGAAAGAAAAAACTCCTTAACAGTGTTGTAGTCGAGACCACCTCACTCGAGTCGAGACTGAGACCAGAGAGAGTCGAGTCCGAGTCAAGACCGAGTCCACAGAGAGTCGAGTCCGAGACCAGAGACGGTCGAGTCCGAGTCGAGACCAAAACCAGTGAGGGTTGATTACCTAATTTACTTTCATTTACTTGGAGAAATCCTTTTTCTCAATTCCGAGTCCAAATGCACTCGAGTCCATGACAAGACCAAGACCATTAAAATATGGTCTCGAGACCGAGTCCGAGACGAGTCCGAGTCTCGAGTACTACAACACTGCTCCTCAATGCCAGGGATTCTCAACTCTGGCCCTCAAGATCCAATTTTCTGCAGAGTCTAGCTCCAAACCTGATCAAACTCACCAGCCTCTAGCCAAATATGGTCTTATTATTGGGAGAAATTTGGGTCTGTGACAATCTGATTTGTAATGCTGCCCGAATAACGGTAGATCCTTTGAGCGCTCCTGATGACACTGTGAAGTGACGCTTGAGTGATCAAGTATTCCAATATATACAAAAAGCTTTCATTAAATTCCTCCATCCTCCTTTTCTTTCCTTGCAGCCTTCCCTCACATCCTACAGGTGATGAAGCTGAGACTCCAGGAAAGGAAGTGAAGATGTACAAGAAGCACCCACAGTGTTACGTTTTTTTTTTGTTTGTTTGTTTGTTTTTTTTGCTGGCTTTGCAGGCTTGCCTTCAAGTGGTTTTGCTCTATCTTTCTAGTACAACCTGATTAGACCTTGATTATTTTGTTCAGGTGTGTTTGATTAGGGTTGAAGCTAAACTGTGCAAGAAATGGCGCTTTTCCACTGCATAGTACGGTACGGTTCGGCGCGGAACAGTTCGGCTCGCTTTGCGTTTCCACTGCAGTAAAGTGTGTGGGACTGATCGTTATTTGCGCGCGCCTCTACTGCCATGACATCATCTTAAAAGCGCCACATTTTCAAACCCACAACACAGGAACAATGGAGACTGTCGAGGGGATGGTGTTCCTGATTCTCGGTATGTGGTTGTTTTTAACTGCTAGACGGAAAAATGTGTTTAAAATGAGGCTGATGGCAGCAAAACAAAAATACTGCTAAAAAAGTGTCTCGTGGCGCAAATCCAATGACGCTAGTAGTGACGCTGGTAGTGACGATTCTGTCTGACCAATCAGTGATCTGCAGTGCTTCACGTCACATTTTAGTTCCGGTACGGTACGCTTGGAACCTCAACAGACCAGGTACCATTTAAAGCGACCCGAAGCGAACCGTACTGTACCGTACCATGCAGTGGAAAAGCACCACAAGTGAGCCGTACCGTACTATGCAGTGGAAAAGCGCCAAAAGTGGACCTTGAGGGCCAGAGTTGAGTCCATTTTCTAAGCTAGGTTAATATCCTTACAAGATATCTTTGTATAAACTTCAGTTGTCCACTGAAGCAATTCTTTTATCTCTGTATTGTTCCGAATCTTTGAGCCATAGAGAAAGGAATTAGTAAATAGTTCTTGTTCACTCTCTGGAACCTGGAAGGTTAGAGAAACAAACAAATTCAGACCCATAATTGTTACAAGATGCATTTGTTGCAAGGTAATCTTTTAAATGCGCTTAACCATTGAAAATGGTGGAGAATGTTGATGAAAATGCCAAAGTACTTGCAAAACAATCACAGAGTCACAGTTACACAGTCACACATGTTATGAGGCTAATGTCACAGATGATTGATTGTACCAATATGATTCTGCATACTGCATTACTCACAGTGGTTATAATCATTTTACTCAGTGCTTCTTTATCACGTAGGACATCAGAGTCAGCTTTAAGTCAGAGCATTAGAATGATTAGATCAAACCGAGATTCAAACAGGAAACTGATGTACAGTATATTAACTGGTGGCATGAGAACTGTTAATAGTTAAGTTCTCGTGCCTTTTGCCCACCTGTTACAGTTATAATGGCGCTTCTTACATCCTGACCGACTCTGTTTTTGGCAGTGCAGTGGTACTCTCCTGAATCAGACTGGTGAATATTTGAGATGACTAAGGTCCCATTATCTGTAAAAAATTACATTTAAAATTTTAAAAACAAGGGAAACCCTGCATCATATTAAACCACAGTCTGTTCCGTATGTAACACACCATCAATGCGTATCTGTTGTGGGAGTGAGACCAGAGACTTTGGATCAGACAGTTGTGAGTTTCGAATCAAAGCGGTTCTAATCCAAGTATATTTGACAGGAAAATCTCCTACGGCTTTACAAGGGAGTCTAACAGGAGATCCCTCTGAGACTGTGAGTGATGCAACGAAGGAAACAATGACTGGTTTCACTGAAAACAAGAAGAAATACAAAGTTAGATCAGGGGTGAATTCCAATCGGAAGTGTGCATCCCTTTTCCCTACTCACTCCGAAGGGCAGAGCCCTTGAAGAGGAGACATAATTTCCTGGAATGTTACCATGTCCATGAGCCCATTAGCTGTTCTTACAAGAGAAATGTATTATTGTTGTTAATATAATTGTTGCAAATATATACAGTCATTTTAAAATAAGGTTTACACACTCACCTAAAGGATTATTAGAAACACCATACTAATACTGTGTTTGACCCCGTTTCGCCTTCAGAACTGCCTTAAATCTACGTGGCATTGATTAAACAAGGTGCTGGATCTTGCAGTTGATGGAGATTTGTGGGATGCACAATCAGGGCACACATTTCCTGTTCCACCACATCCTAAAGATGCTCTATTGGGTTGAGATCTGGTGACTGTGGGGGCCATTTTAGTACAGTGAACCCATTGTCATGTTCAAGAAACCAATTTGAACTGATTCAAGCTTTGTGACATGGTGCATAATCCTGCTGGAAGTAGACATCAGAGGATGGGTACATGGTGGCCATTAAGGCATGGACATGGTCAGAAACAATGCTCAGGTAGGCTGTGGCATTTAAAGGGGCCTAAAGTGTGCCAAGAAAAACATCCCCCACACTGTTACACCACCAGCAGCCTGCACAGTGGTAACAAGGCATGATGGATCCATGTTCTCATTCTGTTTAATCCAACTCTACCGTCTGAGTGTCTCAACAGAAATCGAGACTCATCAGACCAGGCAACATTTTTACAGTCTTCAACTGTCCAATTTTGGTGAGCTCTTGCAAATTGTAGCCCCTTTTTCCTATTTGTAGTGGAGATGAGTGATACCCGGTGGGGTCTTCTGCTGTTGTAGCCCATCCGCCTCAAGGTGCGTGTTTTGGCTTTGTCAAATGCTTTGCTGCATACCTCGGTTGTAACAAGTGGTTATTTCAGTCAAAGTTGCTCTTCTATCACCTTGAATCAGTCGGCCCATTCTCCTCTGACCTCTAGCATCAACAAGGCATTTTCACCCACAGGACTGCCGCATGCTGGATGTTTTTCCCTTTTCACACCATTGTTTGTAAACCCTAGAAATGGTTGTGCGTCAAAATCCCAGTAACTGAGTAGATTGTGAAATACTCAGACCGGCCCGTCTGGCACCAACAACCATGCCACGCTCAAAATTGCTTAAATCACCTTTCTTTCCTATTCTGACATTCAGTTTGGAGTTCAGGAGATTGTCTTGACCAGGACCACAGCCCTAAATGCATAGAAGCAACGGCCATGTGATTGGTTGATTAAATAATTGCATTAATGTGTAATTGAACAGCTGTTCCTCATAATCATTTAGGTGAGTATATGTGTGTGTTCTGTCTCTGCTCTCAACTTTAAAACTTGCCATCTCTTGTTTGGACACTGTAAGCCGTCAGCACGAACCTACCTACTATTAAACTAATTTCTTACCTATGAAACCTATTTAACTTCATATGAAACGTATGACGTGGAAAACAAACAAAGCAAAACAAATGATTCTGTTTATACATTAACTCGACCTCTCCCACCCTCTAGCTTTTTAAAATGAATTGTAAGAATTTTCCACCCGGGACACATGACCATAAACCATAAATTTACTTCCTTGAAGTCACCATCGCAAACCCTTCATTAACAGACTTGTGGAAGCCCTTTATGAAGGGATTCAGGCGTTCTTTTGTTTAGAATTCCCCTAACAAATGGCATCCCCTTTGCAAAGTGTCCTTTCAAGGGCACAAAAGCAGCTGTTTGGAACTTTGGCCAGTTGCCATTCTGTTGTAGTAAAGTCAAGACATCACAAATGTCCTCTACAAAAAAAGAACTAAAGTGGTATTATAATAGAGTGACATATTAGTTGATAATACCATGGTACAAAAATGATTACCTTAATCACAGAGGTGCCCAAGGGTCAGAAAGTAAAAGTCCTGCCATATGTTTATTCCACACATGAAATCAACCTGCTGATTTCACTAATTATTTATCTCCTGGCTGAAAAACTGTGCTAATTAGCAAATCCAGGTGATCTTGAACAAAATACTGAGGAGGACTTTTACTTTCTGAACCTGGACTTTACAACTCTGCTTAAAAATAATGTTTTCACATCCTCTTATCTCAATGAATACCGTTGAACATACCCAAAAATGTCTCCCTGAGGAGGGAATGTATATGTCTCGTCGAAGGAGTTTCCAACGAATTGGGATCACGCTAGGGGGGATCATGAATTGCCTTAGATTGCACTAAAACAAGCCAATGAACATTGGCATGCAGGACTTGCATTGCACACCAGACCTGTCCAGTTCTCCGCGAAGGTACAGCAAGCATGGTGAGATTTCTCCGTTCCCTCCTCAGGGAACAAAGGTCATCATGCGTAACGGAGACGTTCCCTTTCGTTAGCTTTAGCTTTGCGCTAAAGCTTTTTTAGCTTCCTTAGCTTTCCGCCAAAGCAGTTTCTTAGGTTTCTTTACGGCGGGAGATCACAAAGATTGTGGAAGTGCCGCCACACCAACACAGAGAGGTCTCGAGGAAACAGCAGACTCGTTGAGCGTGAAGATATATTGCAACCTTGAAGCTCATCCACTCAGAAGACACAACCGGTCGGCTCCGAAGCAAAAAGCATATGTCCGTGCACTCTATTCTGCTTTATACCTGCACTGGTATGGCAGGTGGGGCGCGGGATGCAAGCCTTGCATTCCAATGTTCATAGGCTCATTTTAGTTCAATCTAAGACTATTGTTCTCCCTAGTGTGATCCCAATTTTTTGGAAACTCCTTCGACGAGACATAGGATAGGGCTGCACGATTAATCGAATTTTAATCACGATCACGATTTTGGCTTCCCACGATCAAATTTGCGGGATATCGAGCGATATTTAAAATGCAAAGTTTTTTTTTTTTTGCAAAGCCAATCTAGCGCTCCGTAAACCACTGTCTGATCACGTGCCTCCACGAGCTCCAGTGCGCAAGAGAGACCGAATCTGTGTCCCAATGTGAAGGCTGCATCCCCCGAAGGCTGTATTTGAAGGACGCTTGTCCGTATTTGAAGACCGATTATGTCTGCGCGCGAGCTACAGTGAACAAGAGAGACGACCCAGACAGCAAACTGACATTGAATCAACGTGGAAACGACGTCTCTCATGATATTGAAACAACGTTGATTTTGCTCATCGAATTAACGTTGAACCAACGTCAGACGCGGCATTCTTCAAAGCTAATTGAAAATCGAAAACTGGTTTGCTTTCATAACGTTGAAACAACGCGTTGATTTCAAGTTGATTTTCCGTTAGTTTTGAAAGAATGACGCGTCTGACGTTGGTTCAACGTTAATTCGATGAGCAAAACAATGTCAGATCAACGTTGTTTCGATGTCATATTTCCACGTTGATTCAATGTCAGTTTGCTATCTGGGGAGTGTTCAAGCGTGCTCATCCTCGAAATGAATTCCGGCTTCCTAGGATCCTTCCTTGACATTGAGAAACACCTCGAGTGTGTCTGTCTGCGTGCGAGCGAGCGACACGGAACGACAGCACGCGAGAGATACCGGTTGTGTCTGAGACTGAGTGACAGCGCGTGAGAGAGACCGAGTGTGAGCATTAGTAAATTGCATTAGTAAATTGGTACATACACACTACATAGTAATATATAATTTCTATATCAGAGGCATGAAAGTTCGATTAATGGACTCCAATAATCAGAAGGCTAATACAAACATCTTGTTTTGAACTATTGTTTAATAAATAAAAAAAATTCGACCACATAAACTTTCATATATGGATGATTAAATAGATTAAAATGTATGCAGTAAGATTTCACAACTAATCACTGACACATTTTACATTTCTTAAGTGTCAAATAACAAGGACTCTGAATTTCATGCATTAATCGAACTAGTGCATAGTTCTGCCTTGACATGTTCTCATTTGGTTACATTCTGTTATGGAATATTTGTTTTTTATTGATTTCATATTTTGGGCGTTTTATTCACATCCATTATTCAGGTACAATGCAAGTTTATAATATATATTTACACAAAGTAAAATGTAAAATAGTGCCCTGTTGAAGTTTTGCTACATTTTATTTATTGTTTTCTTTATTTTTCTTTATTCTTTAAAGAGATGCACTGAATTTTGGTGAATGGGAGCACCTGTTTTATTTTAATGCACATATACATTAGCAGGAATGTAGCACAATATGGATGTGAAAGCAGTTATAATTAGCCTATGTGACAATAAAATAAGTTTTGGTTAAAATCAACAAATAATCGTGATAATTAATCATGATCTCAACATTGATCAAAATAATCGTGATTATCATTTTGGCCCAAATCTTGCAGCCCTAACATAGGAGTTCCAGAACGAACTGTAGTACTATGGAACTTTTTTTTAGCATTCTTGTACTTTTTTGGCAAAGAAAATTTACCAGCAACTCGAAGAGTCATAGTTTTCTCATCGTGACCCAGTGCATTGGAGGCTGTGCATGTGTAATGTCCTTCATCATGCTTTCTCACTGATGAAATGTAGAGAGTTGTGTTTCTCAACCTGGGAACAAAATGAATTGACAAAGCACCACCCGGTAAACAAGAAGCACAATTATAGTTAATAAACTCTTCATGCAAAACTTACCCCATGATAATTTTGCCTCCAGTTTGGACAGACTGACCTAGCTTTAACCACTTGATTGAAGGAGCAGGGTGTCCTAACACTTGGCAGTGAATCGTCACTTCAGCTCCTACAGGAGACGTTATCACCGTTGGCCAGATAGTCACGGATGGAGGTTCTGAAATAAAGGCCACAGGCCAGATTGACCACGGAAAAGAATATAATAATGAAATGAACTTAGCAAACAATAAATGGAGATGTCAAAATTCACAAATTACTAGCCAATCTTTTATGGGTTTGTGAAACAGCCCTTTGGTTCATGATAGAACTACAGATATTTCAGAACATTGCGGGATGTGGATGTGAAAACAGATTTTTTTTTATTGTTGAATTTAATTTTATTATCTTATTTCTATAATCTGTATGTATGTTTTTTTTCTTTTCTGTGAACGCACGCACACATGTATTTCTCTTCTGTAAAGCACTTTGTAAACACTGTTTTTAAATGTTACTTCAAAATTCCTAAAAATATTTAATAATATAATTTCATTTTATATATGATTAATATTATAACAAATCAATTTAAATTAATTTAAAAACATTTTATAGTATATACAAAAATAGTATTAAAAAAAAGTATCATATCAATATCATATTGATTTGGCAGGTGGAACAATGCAACATGTATTGCATGAAGAGGTTCTTCTTTAAGACACACGTGCGAATCTTTGCGAATTTATACATAATTTAAATGTTCATTATTAATAGAATGCACACTTAGCCTTTGCATGTTTCTTTATTGAATATTCTGGCTAATTTTGCTATTTGTTAAGGTATCAAGATGAGTTTAGTACTCAGCTCCATTTACTGAATTTAAAAAAAAAAGTATTATAAAGTATTAAAAAGTACTAAAAGTCATTCTGCAGATTATGTCTGGGCCTGATGGGTTTCCATAGACATAAAAGCACTTCCTGGTTTATATGTGAAGTGAAATGTTTATGATCTTATAGTTCAGAGTAAACCTTTCTCAGATAACATCTCTTTAGTTACTTTCACCTAGTTACTTCCACAAAGTCAAATAACTCCTTACCATGAACCTCTAGGAAGATTTCTTTCGAGGTAATAGCCCTTTTGAGAAGGGAATTAGATGCTCTGCAGAAATACCATCCACGGTCTGTGTCTTGTACACTGAAACACAGATACTCACAGTTAAAAAGATAATAAAGATATTGTACTATATTTTACATTTTTAATGTTTTAACTTATTACAAGATTAAATTTGCAGATAAGGCATGCATAATTAAAATATACACAAACATGACAGTTCAGCCAAAGCAGAGTAAATCAAGGGTGTCCAATCCCAACGCGTTCTCATCCCAAAGCGCCATATAGGACGCTTTTGCAAAAGCGTAAATATCCAACGCACATGGCACCCTTTAACGTGAAATGGGACGCAGATATATTTGGGCAGAAGGCGCCCCCTAGTGGTCTAACCCTTACCCTACACCTTACCTAAACTTAACCATAACCGAAGCGTCTCATTAGACGTTAAAGGGTGCCATGTGCGTTGGATATTTACGCTTTTGCAAAAGCGTCGGGCTCCCAATCCTGCTCCTGGAGGGCCACTGTACTGAATGAACTGCAGCAAACACATCTACCCAAAACACCTGTGGAAGTGCAGGTCTCCATTAGGATCAGCAGTATAATGCAGTCCTGGGTGGAGGAGTTTGTTGTTCTTAAACCAAGACACTTGTGCTTGAGGTCTGCTGTGAGGAGGCCTACAGGACAGAGTCGCAGATTCACCCTTCCTCACTGTTAGGTTGGCAGGTTCAAGCATAAAGGTCCAATCCATAACTGCGTGAGAAAGGATGAAAAGGTATGCTAAATAGAGGACAGGTGTGAGCAGCTACCACCTGGAACGAAAGTAGACTCATCATAAGTACCTGCAGGTAAGAGGTAGGCTGGTTGGGATTTCACTTTCTCCTTCTCATTGCGAGCTTCACAGAAATACAGCCCCTCATCTTCTGACAAAACTCTCCTAGGAAGAAGGTTTTCACACCTTTAATGCTTTCTGTTATACATATTAAATTCATCATGAAATCAAAATTGACCATTCTTATTTTTTAATATGGCAGTACTTTTTATAGGTAAAATGATTTATCCAAGCACATCATTATTGTTTTTAATTTATGTCGCCCAATAATCTTTAATCTTTAATCTTTAATAATCTTTAATCGGGACAACTCACATGAGATCAATGATCTCGATCGATGATCAATGATCAAGCGGTACAATCAAATTTCAATGGACAAAATCAAGTCCTGTCCTACATTTTTTCTTGTTTGAGAAGCTATATATATATATATATATATATATATGGGTGATTCTTCAATTGGGGGCTATTTTGCCATCTTAGATTTTGATTAATGAAATTTGGTTAAATTTTGTTAGAATTATGTCAAGACAATGTTTACATGTTTTGATGTAAAGATATAATAATGGCCGCAACTGAGCTTAAATATTATTTGAGTATTTTATATCTATTTGTCAACTGGCACTTCAAAATGTCATTCCCATCACAACATCAAAAAGTCTTATAATGCACAGAATGTATCAAGGAGATCATTTAAACTCATTTATCTTGCAAATAGTTTTAACCTTTAACAATGCGTATAAAAAACAAAATGTTTCCACTCAGCGAATTACGGATATTTTCTTGTTCTTACCATAAAAACGTATTTTTCTGTGTTCGTCAAAGCACACTTTTGTTTAATTTCTGGAAAATTAATTTTAGATGTTTTTTCTTTGAATAGGTGAATGAGTATTTTATTAGGCTTTTCATGTAGCACCTCAGGATTGAACATAAAACATTTTTAAAGGTACATTTGCTGTAAATTAAGCAACGTGGCGGTAATGACATACTGTTCTGGTAATGACATAGTGTTTTGGTAATGACATAAATGAAAAGTGCACTGATATGTAAAGCAAATTTAAAGGCTTAAAATAATGACTTTTGGTGAGTGTTGTTAAAAGAAATCGCCCTGGTTGCGTATGCAACCCACCGTTCCCTGAAGGAGGGAACGGAGGACGTTGTCGACTGTTGACTGAATGGGGATCGCGCCAGAGAGCCTATGTTCTTCGAGTACTATTGAACGAGCCAATGTAATTGGCGTGCGTGATTTGCATCACACACTCCCGTCACTGTAGGGACCGCAACGTATGGACCCAGCCTAACACAGGTTCCACACTGCTTATGAGTGGTAGGCCTAACACCGTCGAGCTGGTACTGTGTAGTGGAAAAATGCCTTAAAGTGTGAGATTACTTTAAGCTTTCCTGTTTCTTTTCTTCTTTTGTATCTTTCTTTTTCTCTGTAAACATACTGCTGATATTTTACAGGATCTCCCTTCAATTTTTTTCTATAATCTCTAGACCTTTCTGTTGATTTCTTGGAAGCCATTCTGGTTAAAAAAATAAGAAAAAATTGTTTTATGAAGTAAGAACTATCACTTAAGTTTCACTGTAAAACCACAGTATTATGCTTCTTTAACTTAATTAATAAACACACAATATGATATAGATAGTGACACGGAACATGTCATTACCACCATCACTTGTCATTACCATCACAACAAGTTGTGTGTTGGTAATGACGTGTTGCGGTAATGATATTTTTAATTTTTTTCAGGAAAAAAAGATGCTAGGTCATGGTTTTGCTAACATTACTCAACAGCTAGTACAAAAAACTTTAAATACACATAAATCACGTGAATGTATATATAAATGTATCAAAATATTGCTGCTACAACATTTATGGTAATGACGCTGAATAAGTCTACTCCATGATCAGAAAGAATTCAAGATTAAATAACTTACTTTTTCAGACATCAAATTTCACTGTTCTTTCATGGCTGACATGTGCTCCACTTCTAGTCTTCATTTCCATGGTTACGGCATAAACAAGTCTCACCCTCAGAAATATCCTTGTTGTAATTATAGACTGTTGCGGTAATGACAGTATTGTTGTGGACAATACTAAATTGTTAAAAATATTCACAAATTGCACAGATATTAACCCGAATTATGCATCAAGTGCCTTTTAAAGTTACTGTTTAAACATATATTGTAATTGTTTAATGAACTGATTACATTTTATCACATTTTCAGAGCAGACAAGTTTTGAAGTCTGGGTTGGGGACAAGGCCTGAATAGCCAAATATTAGTGATGAAAATAATTTTAAAAATGGAAATCATACTGATTTTAGTGTATAACATTTTTTCGTGGTACAATAAATATAATTTTAAATAACTAAACTGTTTATTTTATAATATTGTATTTTTAACATGAATGTATAACCTGGGGACATAAAAGTTCCCCTAATTGAAGAATCACCCATATATATATATATATATATATATATATATATATATATATATATATGTCACAATAGGGAAGAAAAGACTAACTTCCATTTCTTGACAATTTTAACAACAAAGGCTATTTTGTAGATATTCACTGGCATATAGGGGAGCGCGGGGCACAACCTAACGCAGGGTTAAATGTAACACGGACCGTTTACATAGTTCGTCAGGATCAAGCAGGTTGTCTTTCCGCTATTTTTCTCTTGCTACCAGAAGACGATCTCCCGCGAATTTCTGGAAAGTTTTGATCATATTTCGTGAAGATACTGGACAAAGAGTGTTTTGACACCATGAAAGTAATTTTTTTCATCATAGGTTTTTTTTGTTTTGTTTCTGAGTTGGGTGTATATACGTTTCCAAATCTAACTTTATATTGCCTTAATCACTGTCTTGTTGGCTCAAACATAGCACCGTTTTGAAACATGTCAGTAATTCCTAGCGACTGTTAGCTAGGCTTAAAATATGTAATACACAGCAGGGTTAGTTGTAACAGAGTGTTACAAACAAGCCGTCAAGTGTACAATGATAATCAAATGAAAACGGAACCACGCAACTTTTCAGGTTTGAGTACATTTAACTTTGTTAGACTTTCACAAACAATATTGGAATTTAAAATGTTTAAAATTTAGCATACTATGAATGATAACTTGTTTATTTCTTAAAAATATGGCCCGTTATTAATGCAATAAACCCTTTAAAAAAAATTTAAGCTCATTATTATTACTGTTATTATTATTAATAATATAATTGTACATGCAGCTGCCACTTACAAATCTAATTTAATTGCAATTACAATATTTATAATTGTATTTATTATTATTTATTGCAAAACTATGCAGCCCTTTTCTATGTCTCTATCCATGATATTGATCCACAATAGAAGGATGATTGGATGAGGGATGGATGTATGGATATCTGTCTATACAGATGCACAATCAAACTACACAAATAAAATAGTACTGAATTATGTGTGTTACACACAAGTGTTACAACTAACCCCTCTATCTGTTACAATTAACCCCGTATATGGGGTAAGTTGTAATATTTGCCCTTCTGTCACTTTCAGTGCAACTGTACGAAAATGGTAGGTCCTATAAAAAACTTTAAGTGGTCATTTGTAGCAGAGATGTGTATGTTGCTTGTGTAATTAATTAAGCCAAAACCAAAATGCGTTAGGTTGTGCCCCGCTCTCCCCTATTAATGATTTATTGATTAATGCTCATTTATTTCATTGAACTGTGTTTTATTAAAACTCTTTATTCTTGAAGAAATGCATATATTTTGATGTTTTAATTTTCACACTTATTGATTCATAATCTGCCTTAGAAGAAATCTTACTTGAAAATCAGCAGTTGTCCATCTTTCTGCAGATCCCATCTAGAAGAATTGGGTAATGGACGTCCATCCTTAAACCACTGCACTGTGGGAATGGGAAAGCCTTCAACAAAGCAGTGGAGTGCTGCTTCCTTTTCAACAGGTACAGTGACATTTTGTGGGCCCTCAATGACCTTTATGTCAACACCTGTGCAATAAAAAAAACAAATACACCAAGTATCAGGAATGCCAGATTTGTATAATGCAAAATATATCAAAGTTGTATGTCTTACCATGCACTGTCAGAGTTGCTGCATGACTCTCTTTGCTTATGTTCAGAAGAGGATTGTGGGTGACACAAATATATATTCCTTGGTCTGTTTTAGTGATGTTAGCCATGTGCAAGGTGCCTGAAGTCTTCCTTTGGCTCCCTCCTCCATACTGTCCCTAGTGGTAGTATTTAGCAAAGAAATATTATTACACTTGTCATGAAGCCCTTTCCAGTTTCCCCTTTTGGTGACAAGTCATCGGATCTGGCTGCATAAAAACCAATCTCTCTCCACGGATTTGTTGCACTTTCTTTGTGGAGTTTGTGTGCTAAATCATATAAATATTGACGTTCTGCACAATCTCTGAGAGATGGGCTTCAAAGTTATCAGTTTGTGACTAGTCAGCTGGCATGTGTGATTGTAAATAGAATAAAACATTAAAACCACACCCACAAACATTTTTAATCAAACAGCAATGCGCTTTGACTTTCCAAATTCTCATTGGTCAAGACGAAATCTTAACAGGAAATATATCACCAAACAATATATAATTTTGTAAAGGCTTATCGTATTTTAAAAGTATTTCAAAATTGTAACTGATTGTAAGTTATTTTATTGTGGCCATAGTATAACAGTCCGTGACTGTGTAATTACTATAAAAGTGTTTTAGTTATGTAGCAACCTGAATCTGGTTTCCTTTGGTGAGAACTCTGCCATTTTTCAACCATGAAATCTGAGCAGGGGGAGAACTATCACCAGAGACACACTGAAGGAACACATCATGTCCCTCTTCAGTTCTTATGGACTGAGGGTGAAAGAACACATCTTCCAGGCCTACAAACAAACAAACACAAAAATTACAATCTATAACCATTTGTGGTGGACACCTAGGTATCATCAGTCCTGTGTGTAACCACTAACATAATCTCTCTTCTATAATTTATAATTTCAATAATTCATATTTTATACTAATGCAAGATACATACATGCTTTGCTGATCATGACAGTTGTCTGAATCTGTTTGTTCCCTCTCTTGGCACTGCACGAATAGTTTCCAAAGTCTTCCTCTTTTAAGCGCGGAAAGAAAAGTGAGCCATTGGTCATTTGATGAATCCTGCTGTCCAGACCACCAGTGTCTCTTTCCCATTTCACTGGTGGAGGAGCCTTTGGGCCAGAGTCAAACACTGTGCAGTGCAGCATCAGAGAGCTATTTAAAATCCCAACGCCATCTTCTGGTAAGATTGAAAATACTAAGCAAAAGATAAAAGTGTGCAAGGAAATAAATTAATATAAAAAGATGACGTTTATATAAAGAGAGTATAATATGATGATTTTTTTAGAGATCTGAAGTAAACATAATATGTACTAAGAATGTGTGTTATTACCTTGAGTAGCCATTTCTACCTTCTCTGAACACTGTTGTACACTGAGTCTATCGTTTATTTGTGATAACACAATGAAACATGCCAAATTGTACAGATATATATTTTTTTATATATATTATGAACACATGAAGAAAACAAGAGAGGACAATGAAATATTAATAGAATGGCTATGTAGCAGACAATATATGATTTTTTTCTACTGTGACCTTATTAGTTTTTCTAAAACCTAGCTGTAGTTTGCCCTTTTTTGTTTCTTAACATTAAGCAATATTATTGATCTTCATGCATTGACACTATTATTTGAGAACTGAACTGAGCTGTATGATGACATCACTGATTTCTCCACAGAGAATAAATAAATAGAGAACTAATGATTTTTACAACGGAAATGGATCAACACTGAACTGGACAATAACACTATTTTCTTCTAGAGACAATTTTGTTCTTTTGGTACAGGCAAAACTAAATGTGTTGCATCCTTTCCCTGTAATCAAACAGGAAACATGATGAATTGAAATAATTTTGTCAGATAAATAACTTCACTAAGTTTGGTGTTTTGTGCTTCACTCATATTTCAAAATATTTTAAAAAATATATAAATATACAAATATTTTCCTCATAATTTGATGGTTCAAATAAGCTTGAAGGGTAATTAAAATAAAAAAATAAACTCTTCACATGACTTTTGGCCACTACTGTATGTTTGGTGTGGTCAGTGTCACAATAATGCTATTTGAGACCCTGCTTACTGTGGATTGATGAGCTGAAGTCATCAATGGTGCAATGCTGCATTTTTCCAATTTACACAAATTTAATTATCACTTTCATTTAATTTCCTTGAATTTCTTACAAAAAGCATACCTTGATGATCAACTCGGTCATCATTTAACTCCAATACAACATATTTTCGTTGAAAAGTTTGCAGCCTCCTCTCTGGTGCCATCTTGTTACTCTTAGGTTAGGATGTCTCTGGCACTCTTGAATAATTTAGGGGCTGAAACCTAGTTTTGACACCTGGGAACCTTTATGAATCACGCTTTTTCTTAAGCTTAATTTTATTCTAAAGTTACTTTATGCATACGGCCCCTGGTTTATTGGGAAAACATTTTTTCTGTAAGTCAGCTGTTTGCAATAAACAAACTAAACAAAAGTAACTGAAATAGCTCAACACAACAAGGTTGTTTCAAGAGTTTTCACCAAATGTAACTAAAAATTATTTTAACAAATAAAACTTTTAATGACTTCTGCAGTCTCAATTATTCAACCCTCTAAATAGAAATCCTCACAACGGCACAACTCTACAAAACAGGTGTTGTCAAAAGCACACCTGATGCAACTAATCACAGGCCAGCAGCCATTCTGCCCTACAAAGCAAAAAGGCAGTAACTGCAGTTTTGGTAAAGCATTAATTATTACAATTTTGGAAACGACGTCTCTCATGACATTGAAACAACGTTGATTTTGCTCATCGAATTAACGTTGAACCAACGTCAGACGCGGCATTCTTCAAAGCTAAATGAAAATCGAAAATTGGTTTGCTTTCATAACGTTGAAACAACGCGTTGATTTCAAGTTGATTTTCCGTTAGTTTTGAAAGAATGACGCGTCTGACGTTGGTTCAACGTTAATTCGATGAGCAAAACAATGTCAGATCAACGTTGTTTCTATGTCATATTTCCACGTTGATTCAATGTCAGTTTGCTATCTGGGTCCTTTGTTATTTGACAAAACATCTTATCTTAAATGCGTGTCGTTTTAGAGAAAAATGGTAGTCGTTTGTAGTAACTGCAAAAAGCCCTAGCAAAAGTAATTTTTCTCAGTTCTGCACTCTGTATAGTGCGTAGTTACTGCCTTTTTGCTTTGTAGGGCAGTATTGGCCCCCACCCCCTCTCTGTGGTAATTAAAAACCCATGGATTCTCGTAAAGAGTAGGGGTAACCTTCCTTGGCCAAATTCCATTCATTGGCCCTTGCCAATCATGGCCTCCTAAAAATCCCCATTAACTGAATTGGCTCGATCACTCTCTCTCTTTCTCTCTCCTCTCCTCTCCAACTAGCTGGTGTGTGTGGTGTGCACAAAGTACAACTGTCGCCGTTGCACGGGCTTCATTAGAAACACCAAATTTGCTTGAGCTAGAACATGTGAAATTCTGAACTGTTTGTTGACAGTCACGTTTTACTGCATGTTAGAAATATTATAAATCTGCACAAACAAGGAACAGGATACAAATAGAGAGTGAATGCACTAAATGCTCATGGAGATAGCGTTGAAAGCATAGTTCGCAAAAAAAAAAGTTAAAGGAAAAGTGGTTCTACCTGGACAGGGCAGAAAAAGTAAGCTATCAACTGCTGCATCCACATTTCTGAGAAGGCAGGTTCAGAAAAACACGAGTGACTGCAAAAGACCTGCAGCAAAACTTAGTGGCAACAGGCTCTAAGGTTCCAGTTTGCACAATAATGCCTTGTTCACACTACATGATTTTAAAACGTTGGGCTGAACTGTGAAGTTCACACTACATGACTTGCTCTCAGTGAAATCAGGAGTGTTCAAGTTGTTTAGATGTTCACACCACACAACACAACGTGATTGATCCACAACAGGAGGTAATTCACTACACGAGTTGACAACGCATAGAGATACAACCACGATCGGATGATAAGCGCAAATCATTTTTGACTCTAATGAGAGCTCTTTCAGTACTATGGTACGGTCTAAATTCTGAAAATAATCAAATAAATAACGGGTTGACAACAACTCTGTCACCCAACGATTCTATCTTGTCTACAAACCACATTTTGTCACAAAAAAACAGCAAAATGAACCAGAAATGATGTGAAACAGCACGTGCGCAAATACCCAGCAAAGAAGAGAACACTACACACGAATATGGACGTCAGACAGAAACTAGTGCTGCACACACTGTTTGCGCGACGATCTGCTCTGAAAAAAAAAAAGAAAAAAAAAAAAAAGAAAAACGTCCTCGGGTTACGACTGTAACCCTTGTTCCCTGAGAAGGGAACGAGAACTGCGTCCAAGTGACACTTTGGGGGAACGCCCCTCAGCGTAGCGTCTCTGAAGCATGAATGAAACTAAGCCAATCTCCGATTGGATCAACGTGATGACGTGATGTGTGACGACACATAGGCGGAAGCATATATAAGGAACCGGCACACACAACATGTCAGCTTCTGTGATGAAGCAAGCGCTCCCAGGCAGGGGAAGGCGTGGCCACGAGACGCAGTTCTCGTTCCCTTCTCAGGGAACAAGGGTTACAGTCGTAACCCGAGGACGTTCCCTATCGAGGGAACTCAAACTGCGTCCAAGTGACACTTTGGGGAACGAGTACCCACTACGCCACAACGCGCCCTGCCTGTCCTGGTGTGAAGCTGCTCACAGGCACACTCAGGACGCGAGCACAAGAGAGCCGGGTGTCGACGGAATGTCTAAGCTGTAAAACCTAATGAAGGTATGTGGGGTAGCCCATCCAGCTGCATCGCAGACTTCCTGGATGGGGGCCCCTGCGAGAAGGGCCCTAGAGGATGCTATGCCTCTAGTGGAATGGGCCCTCACAGCCAAAGGTGAAGGCATACCGCGCACCTGATAAGCTGTGGAAATCGCATTGACAATCCAGTTGCTGATGGTTTTTTTGAGGCCGGAAACCCCTTTTTGGGCGACCCGAAACATACCAGCAACTGGTCCGCCTTCCGCCATGAAGAGGACCTCTGAATATATATCCCTAGTGCTCTGACAGGGCAGAGCCTATGAAGTCTCTCCTCATCCGCCGTCAGGTGAGGTGGGGGATGAAATGCCTGCAGAACCGTAGGCCGTGCCACATTAGATGGCACCTTAGGCAGATAGCCAGGCCTAGGGTGAAGGATGGCCTTAATGTTGCCTGGAGCAAACTCCAGGCACTCGTTAGATATGGAGAGCGCCTGAAGATCTCCCACCCTCCTCAGAGAAGTGATGGCCAACAGAAAAGCGACCTTCAGCGTTAGGTTCTTGGCCTCAGCCGACTCCAGTGGCTCGAAGGGGGCCTCAGCCAATCCTTCTAGAACTACTGCCAGGTCCCAAGAGGGAACCCTGGTACGAGCCGCAGGTCTCATCCTCCAAGCTCCACGGAGGAAACGTACGATCAATTGGTGTCTCCCCAGAGACCCATCACCCAACGGAGCGTGGAAAGCCGCAATGGCAGCCACGTACACCTTGAGCGTGGACGGGGTAAGACCAGAGGAGAAGCGATCTTGGAGGAACTCCAGCACTGAAGCCACTGGGCAGTTAACTGGGTCAACCTCACGCCTCCTACACCAATCAATAAACACATTCCACTTTAAACCATACAGTTTCCTCGTGGAGGGAGCTCTAGAGCTGAGTATGGTCTCCACTACTCCAGCTGACAGGCCAGCCTCTAGGTACTGTGCCCCCTCAGGGGCCAGACCCACAGTTTCCATAACTCCGGCCGAGGGTGAAATATTGAGCCCCCCGCCTGTGTCAGCAGGTCCCTCCTGAGGGGAATCTCCCACGGAGGGCCGTCTAGGAGCAATATTATGTCCGAGAACCATACTCGGGCCGGCCACAACGGGGCTACCAACAGTAGACTGATCCCGTCGCGACGGACCCTTTCCAGAACTCCCGGGAGCAGAGCGATCGGGGGAAATGCATACAGACGCAGTGGGGCTGGAGGGGTGAGGGAAAACCACAGCGGACAGTGGGTCGTCTCTCGAGACGCAAACAGGTCCACTTCCACAGGGCCGAACCTCTGACATATCGACTCCACCACCTCGGGGTGAAGTCTCCAATCCCCGGGCCTCAGCCCCTGTCTCGACAGGACGTCTGCTCCCTGATTTAGACTTCCCGGGATGTATGTTGCTCTTAGAGACAACAGTTTCCCCTGGGACCGCAGGAGGATCTGATGCGCCAGTCTGCATAGAGGGCGAGACCTCAGGCCCCCCTGATGGTTTATATAGGCCACCACTGACATGCTGTCTGACCTCACGAGGACGTGATGACCTCTGAGGTCCGGCAG